TATTAGTCCATTTTCACGCTGCTGATAAAGACACACCCGAGACTGGGTAATTTATAAAGAAAAAGAGGCTTAATGGACTCATAGTTCCTTGTTGCTGGGGAGGCCTCACAATCATGGTGGAAGATTAAAGGCACGTCTTACACGGTGGCAGACGAGACAGAATTAGAGCTAAGCGAAAGGGGAAACACCTTATAAAACCATCAGATCTCATGAGACTTATTCACTACCATGAGAACAGTATGGGGGAAACCGCCCCTATGATTCATTTACCTGCCACTGGGTCCTTCCCACAATTCATAAGAATTATGGAAGCTACAATTTAAGATGAGATTTGAGTGGCGACACAGCCAAACCCTGTCTCAAAAAAGAAAAGAACAGAACAGAACAGCTCCCAGCTGTCTCCAGCTCCCAGCAAGAAGGCAGGCCTCATTTTTGCATCTCAGTAAGGATCCTCTGACATGCAAATTTCATATTTTTCTCCATGTTCCTACTACATATACAGTGGTCCTACATTGTTCAAACTGGAACCTTTTAGAGAGATAACAGGAAGACACTGAACATGTGAATGAAAAATGGCCAGACCGTATGCAAAAATAGAACTCTGACTCACAATCTGCAACAACCAGACCAGAAAACCAATCTATCATTTACAAATCAGACATGTAGGAAGTTAGATCACTATCACTAGGAAACAATCCAGGAACCCAGCAACAACCCCTGTAACAAATGGCCCCAGATGGCAAGAACTTTATTAAAAACTGATAGCTTTTTAAATTTTTGGACCTGCTGTCAACATAGGACCAAAAGAAAACCAACTGTGCATCCCAATCAAACACATAGGATGCTCTGCTAGTTCTAGTTACCCCACCTATTGCTTCCCTATGACAACAGTCTTCAGTTAGGGCACACCTGAAGCCTTCCCCTATTCCCCACTGTAAAGTTTTCCCACTCCTCTGTTTTTGAGGCTCTGACAAAACGCAAGTGATGGTGGCTGACTCCCTTGTTATAGCAAACTCTGAACAAATAGTCTTCACCTCTTCTCAGGTAGTCTTCAAATAGTCTTCATGTATCTCCACAAAGGGGATAGTAGTAATAATTTTGCTGAATCAACAGGCAAAAATCAGGACTGTCCTGAGCAAATCTGGACATAAATCACCCTAGTTATGAAGCACAATTAGACCAGAAGCTGTTTGCTAGTGAAATACTGTATGAGGTTTAGGAGAATGAAAGTGTGAAAGACAAAAGATAAAATACGCCACCACCACTAGGTGGGGTTACACCACTAAAGAATAGAGGATGTTTCCATTATAAAGGGAAGTGCTTGAAGTGTATATGCTCTTAGGTTACTGTTCAGTAATCTTTTTGGTTTTGATGCATGATACTGTAAATCCAAACATTGGAATCAATGTAAAATGGTCTTCAGGGCAATAATTGATGAACTAATTCCAACGGGAAATGAGCATATTATCATCTAGTATTAATTCACTTTCAATTATTGCCTTCTGCACCTGAAGCAGTAACGAGATGAACAACACATTCCCTGCCTTTAAGAAGGTGGCTGGGTGCCGTTGCTCATGCCTGTAATCCCAGCACTTTGAGAGGCCGAGGCAGGCGAATCACAAGGTCAGGAGTTCGAGACCAGCCTGGCCAATATGGTGAAACCCTGTCTTTACTAAAAATACAAAAATTAGCTGGGCATGGTGGCGTGCACCTGGAGTCCCAGCTACTTGGGAGGCTGAGGCAGAAGAACTGCTTGAACCTGGGAGGCCGAGGTTACAGTGAGGCAAGATTATACCACTGCACTCTAGCCTGGCGACAGAGTGAGACGCCACCTCAAAAAAAAAAAAAAAAAAAGGAATAAGAAGGCAGCATTCTAGAGTACTTCAAGTTTACATATGAAGGGCTTGTCACATAAGTTGTAAGACCCAGTGCAAAACGAAAATAAGGGACAGCTTTTTCAGAAAGTATTTCAAGATGGCAACAGTAGAGCATTAAACCACCTGTGGGGCCCTTCTGAGGACAGGGCTGTGTGACTGCACAGGTCACACACCCATGAAGTCAACCCTAAGTATAGGATAGTATTCTATGACAAATTATAGACGAATAAACTATGTTGCCTAGTACACGTTGTGATGCTACTAGGCCTTTCAATGTGGTTATTTGTTTGTTTATTTGAGATGGAGTTTTGCTCTGGTTGCCCAGGCTGGAGTGCAATGGCATGATCTCAGCTCGCTGCAACCTCTGCCTCCCAGGTTCAAGTGATTCTCCTGCCTCAGCCTCACAAGTAGCTAGAATTACAGGCATGTGCCACCACGCCCAGATAATTTTGTATTTTTAAGTAGAGACAGGGGTTCACCACATTGGTCAGGCTGGTCTTGAACTCCTGACCTCAGGTGATCCACCTGCCTCTGCCTCCCAAAGTGCTGGGATTATAGGCATAAGCCACTATGCCCAGCCTCAGTGTGTTTTCATTCTATGTTGGACATTTGTTATGCAAAGAATTACATTTCATTTTAAAAATTACTAAGCATTGACTACATTTGTACTATATGCTATAGAGAATATTTCCTAACATTTAATGTAATCAAGCATATAAATAACTAATCTAATTTTTAAAATGTTATAAAAAGTTACAGTTATAATTCTTCCACTTTTCCCCACAAGCCTAAAGCGCAGAGCAGAGACTGAAACTGGTAGGCACTCAATAAACACTTGTCAAATGAATGCAAGGAGGCTGGAAAGTCCCATACAAGGAGTTGTTGTTTGGTGAGGGCCTTCTTGCTGTGTCATCCCATGGCAAAAGGCAGAATGGCAAAAGAGCCAAATTTTACTTGCCTTAAAAGTGAAGGAAAGGCCAGGTGCAGTGGCTCATACCTGTAATTCCAGCACTTTAGGAGGCCAAGGCAGGTGGATCACCTGAGGTCAGGAGTTCGAGATCAGCCTGGCCAACATGGCAAAATGCAATTTCTACTAAAAATACAAAAAATTAGCCTGGCATGGTGGCACACACCTGTAGTCCCAACTACTTAGGAGGCTAAGGTGTTAGAATCTCTTGAATCCAGGAGGCGAAGGTTGCAGTGAGCCGAGATTGTGCCACTGCACTCCAGCCTGGGCAACAGAGCAAGACTCCTTCTAAAAAAAAAAGAAGAAAAGAAGGAAATTCTTTTTTTTTTTTTTTTTTTTTTTTGAGACGGAGTCTCGCTCTGTCACCCAGGCTGGAGTGCAGTGGCTGGATCTCGGCTCGCAGCAAGCTCTGCCTCCCGGGTTCACGCCATTCTCCTGCCTTAGCCTCCCGAGTAGCTGGGACTACAGACGCCCGCCACCTCCCCGGCTAGTTTTTTGTATTTTTTAGTAGAGACGGGGTTTCACCGTGTTAGCCAGGATGGTCTTGATCTCCTGACCTCGTGATCCGCCTGTCTCGGCCTCCCAAAGTGCTGGGATTACAGGCTTGAGCCACCGCGCCCGGCCAGGAAATTCTAACACATGCTATATGAGGGCATTAAGCTAAGAAACAAGCCACTCACAAAAGTCAAATATGGGAAGATTCCACTTATATGAGGAAGTTAGTGTAGTCAAAATCATGAAGACAGTAAGTAGAATGGCAGTTGCCAGGGGCTGGGGGGAGGGAGGAATGGGGACTTATTTTTTAATTAGTATAGAGTTTCAGTTTTACAAGATGAAAAGAGTTCTGGAGCTAGATGGCAGTGATGCTTGCATATTATGAATGTATTAATATTACTAAACTGCACACTTTAAAATGTTTAAGATTGTAAATGTTCTTATATTTTACCACAACTTAAAAAAATAAAAATAAAACAGTACATATAGTGAAGAAGAAATGAAGTTGCAACCAAAGGGACCAATATTTTGGGTGAGAAATCTAATACTTAATTCAGTGCTAATGTTTACTTTTTTTTTTTTTTTTGAGACGGAGTCTCGCTCTGTCGCCCGGGCTAGAGTGCAGTGGCCGGATCTCAGCTCACTGCAAGCTCCGCCTCCCGGGTTGACGCCATTCTCCTGCCTCAGCCTCCCGAGTAGCTGGGACTACAGGCACCCGCCACCTCACCCGGCTAGTTTTTTTGTATTTTTTAGTAAAGACGGGGTTTCACCGGGTTAGCCAGGATGGTCTCGATCTCCTGACCTCGTGATCCACCCGTCTCGGCCTCCCAAAGTGCTGGGATTACAGGCTTGAGCCACCGCGCCCGGCTAATGTTTACATTTTTAGTAGAGACAAGGTTTCACCATCTTGGCCAGGCTGGTCGTAAACTCCTGACGTCAAGTGATCTGCCCGCCTTGGCCTCCCAAAGTGCTGTGATTACAGGTGAGAGCCACCTCGCCCGGCCTCACACCCTTGTGTGTGATTCTCTTAATTCCATTTTCTCTCCTCCCCTCTGCCCCTTAATATACTGCACTTCACCTTGTAACGAGCTAAGTAGGACCTGAAATAAGAATACTCAAAACACGGTAGAAATAAACAAGAAGACAGAAACTAAAGCCTGTATTTTTTTTTTTTTTTTTTTTTGAGACGGAGTCTCGCTCTGTCACCCGGGCTGGAGTGCAGTGGCCGGATCTCAGCTCACTGCAAGCTCCGCCTCCTGGGTTCACGCCATTCTCCTGCCTCAGCCTCCGGAGTAGCTGGGACTACAGGCGCCCGCCACCTCGCCCGGCTAGTTTTTTGTATTTTTAGTAGAGATGGGGTTTCACCGTGTTAGCCAGGATGGTCTCGCTCTCCTGACCTCGTGATCCGCCCGTCTCGGCCTCCCAAAGTGCTGGGATTACAGGCTTGAGCCACCGCGCCCAGCCTTTTTTTTTTTTTTTTTTTTTGAGTGCTTAGTAGCTGTACTGGGGGCGCTTGCTGCTCGCCGTCGTTATCCTCCCGACGCACCCTGAAAAACATGGGGTTTGCGGTACAGCCCCCCGCCCCCGCTTTTTTTTTTTTTTTTTTTTTTTTTTAGTGCTTGGTAACTGTCCCTTTGTGTCTCCCTAAGTGCAGGACAAACTTCTTGGGGCAAATACAAATGTTTGATAAAATTCTGGGCCAAGGAGTCTTGCACTGGATATATTCAACAAATTACCTGCCGATGATAACAGCGTAAGTAAAACGAGTTCTAAAAGTAACAAATGACTTAGTTATCCTCAGTTATAAGGATAAATCCGTCCTTCCTTTTCTTTTTCACCTAGCCCTTTTGTTGGGCCTCTAAAATGTAAGGTAACTACGTGGGAAAGCAAGCAGCAGCTGGTAGTGTGTTTTTACCCTGATTTTATCACTCCAAGTATCTACCGTCGCTGGCTTTGCGAAGACAAGCTTTGTATCAGAACGAGGTGCGGCTGGAACGCCTGACGAAAGCAAACCAACTTTCCCAGCCGACGCGTTGACGGCGTGTCCGCACGCTGCGCGGGGGTAGGAACTTCCTCCAGCCTGGTTCCCCGGCGGGGAACCAATAAAGTTGAGCGCGTTCAAAGGGGTCCTAATCTTCCAGGAACCACTGGGCAGGCCTGCAAAATAAGGCCCCTAGAAACTCCCTGAGGTTTGCAAGTCTTCTCCCGCTCCTCGGAATTTCCCCCCCCCATTCGCATTACTTTTATTCTGACGGAAACGGCGCGGGCTAGGCCCCAGGAGGGGCGCTTTTCAGGTGCAACTGGCCCGGCGATCGCGGTGGGCAACCCCTACGAGGCCCCCGGTTGACTGGGAGCTGGCGGTCCGAGCTGTGGCTTTGGAAGACCCAGACGATGAAGCCTAGACCCGCCCGGTTCGTGGATAATAAACTCAAGCAACGAGTCATCCAGGTGTGTATTCTGCACCGCTCGGTCTCGCCAAGGGCCCCGATCACTGCCCCAGGGTGCCATTCCCCTTTTTTTCGGGTGGCGTCCACGTGGAATTCAACTAGTCTTCTTTCCCCAGTCTGGGTCTGGGCGTGCGTCTGTTCCTCCTTCGTTGGTGGTGCCGGGGCCTTCCCTACCCACGTTGGTGCGGAGTCTCAGGAGAAACCGGGGACGGTGGGAGGGTGCAGCTTGGTGGGGCTGCGGAGGATGTCTGGTCGTCTTCAGCGCAGATCATTCAGTAGAGTGGAGTTAGCCTTTGAATTTTAACCTCTTTGACTTGTGAAGTTAGTACAGGAATGGTCTTCAAACGCTCGCATTGTAAGAGGTCCTTGAGAAGGGGTGGCATAAATAATACGTTACTTTCCGCTCTCAAGGAACTTACACACTAAAACGAGGTAACATGGTCTGGCAACAGTAACAGGCACTTTGCCTACGGTTTTCTCATTTTCATGACCATCAGTAAAAAGCAGTGTGTGGCAGATACCTTAGAATGTAAACAAGCAGTCTGAGGTAAAAGGAGGGAGAGAATTTTCTTCACTTAGGAATTGGTGAGCTACACATTCTCCTTGTTTTTCTTTCACTTCACCAGCCCCTAAACAATCTCATTTTCGGACCCATCTTTTCCTACCAACTTGTAAATGTTGGAAGTGCTCTGAGCCACTGTTCTCTTACCTTCCCTTCCTCCTCTTCCTCATACACCTTTCTTATCTATCCATACTTCCTATGTGATCTCATTTAGTCTAATAACCTTTGAATAGTGTCTACATATTCTATTATCTATATATTTTTTTCATTTTATTTTTATTTTTCTGAGACACAGTCTCGCTCTGTTGCCCAGGCTAGAGTTCAGTGGCTGTTCATGGGCACAATCGTAGCTCACTGCACCCCCGGCCTCCCTGGCTCAAGCAATCCTCCCTCCTCAGCCTCCCCAGTAGCTGGGACTACAGGTGTGCACCACCACATCTGGCCAATTTGTTATTATTATTATTATCATTTGTAGAGACGGGGTTCCACTATGTTACTCTGGCTGGTCTCTAACTCCTGGGCTCAAACGATCAGGCCTCAGCCTCCGAAAGTGCTGGGATTACCGGTGCAAGCTGCTGTCCTGTCCTCTATATATTTATGACTGCTAAATTTGTATCTGCTGTCCAGATTTTATCTTGAAGTACAGATTGATATATCCTGCTGCCTAGTCAGCGTATCTCCAAATTAAAATGGCCAAGTGGAACTTGTGATTTTTTCTTCCTTCAAACCTGCCCTTTCTTAGTGTTCTGTATCTCGGTAAATGATACCACCGTTTGTCCAGTTGTTAAGGCCAAAAGCCTTAAGGATCATTCTGAGTCTTTCTTTCATTTCCTGTATACCATCCATCAACAGCGTGGTTTGCTTTACTTTCAAAATATATTCCAAGTACTTCTTACTGTCTTTCCCTATAACCATCTTAGTCCAAACCATCATCTCTACCTTATACTATTGCAGTAGCCTCCTAACTGGTCTTTCTGATTCTGCTTTTACCTAAAGCCTATTCCCCACAGAACAGCCAGAGACATCTAATTTTTTTTTTTTTTTTTTTGCTCACTGCAACCTCTGTCTCCTGGGTTTAAGCGATTCTTCTGCCTCAGCCTCCCAAGTAGGTGGGATTACAAGTGCATGCCATCATGCCTGGCTAATTTTTCTATTTTTAGTAGAGACGAGGTTTCACCATGTTGGCCAGGCTGGTCTTGAATTTCTGACCTCAGTTGATCTGCCCGCCTCAGCCTTCCAAGGTGCTGGGATTATAGGCGTGGCCAAGACATCCTTTTAAAGGGAAAAATTAGGCTAGGGGAGGGATAGCATTAGGAGAAATACCTAATGTAAATGACGGGTTGATGGGTGCAGGAAACCACCATGGCCCTTGTATACCTGTGTAACAAACCTGCATGTTCTGCACATGTATCCCAGAACTTAAAGTATAATTTAAAAAAAAAAAAAGGAAAAATCAGAGCTTGCCATAGCCCTGCTCAAAACCTTTCAGTGGAATCACAGACATCTAGAGTAAAACCTAGTCAAAAAAGCCCTGCATATTCTGGCCTCTGTTGTCCTAGTTTACTTTTCATCTCCTGACCCAACCACACAGACCTTCTCAAACATGCCAAGCACAGGACCTTTGTTCTCGTTGTTCACTCATTCTGAATTACTCTTCCTCTGGATGTTCCCGCATCCCACAACTTGCTCCTTCACTTTATTCAAGTTTCTGAGCAGTGACTCCTAATTACTGGATCTAGTGGCCTCTTCTCTGTCCTCACACTTGACTGCTTTTCAACGTTTGACATTATCAGTTTTCCTCTGTAGCTTTCACTTCGGTTCATTATAAAAGTACAAATTGAATATCCCTTATTCTAAATGCTTAAGACCAAAAAATGTTTCAGATTGATTTTTTTCAGGGTTTGGAATGTTTGTGTATACGTAATGAGATATTTGGTGATGGGACCCAAGTTAAACATGAAGTTTACTTATGTTTCATACACACCTTATACACATGGCCTGAAGATAGTCTTACACAAGATTTTAAATAAATTTTCACTTAGCTATATATTTAATTTAATTTAATTTTAATTTTTTATTTTTGAGACTGGGTCTCACTCTGTCACCCAAGCTGGAATGCAGTGGTGTGAACAGTGCTCACTACCACCTCAAACTTGTGGGGTCAAGTGATTCTCCTACCTCAGCCTCCCGTGTAGCTGGGACCACAGGTATGCACCATCATGTCTGGCTAATTTTTAAATTTTTCATAGAGATGAGATCTTACCATCTTGGCCAGGCTGGTCTAGAACACCTGGACTCAAGCAATCCTCCCACTTTGACCTCTCAAAGTGCTGGGATTACAGGTGCAAGGCACCATGCTCAGGCTATTTTATTTATTTATTTATTTTTGAGACAAGGTCTCGTTCTGTTATCCAGGCTGGAGTGCAGTGGCCAGATCTCAGCTCACTGCAACCTCCGCCTCCCAGGTTTATGCCATTCTCCTGCCTCAGCCTCCTGAGTAGCTGGGACTACAGGCGCCCGCCACCTCGCCCGGCTAGTTTTTTGTATGTTTTTTAGTAGAGGCGGGGTTTCACCGGATTAGCCAGGATGGTCTCGATCTCCTGACCTCGTGATCCGCCCGTCTCGGCCCACCCAACCAATTTTTAAATTTTTTTGTAGAGATGAGGTCAAACTTTGTTGCCCAGGGTGGTCTCGAACTCCTGAGCTCCCAAAGTGTTGGGATTACAGGTATGAGCCACCATGCCCAGCCAAAAGGTGATTTAATATTGAAACTAGGGGCCAGGCGCGGTGGCTCAAGCCTGTAATCCCAGCACTTTGGGAGGCCGAGACGGGTGGATCACGAGGTCAGGAGATCGAGACCATCCTGGCTAACACGCTGAAACCCCGTCTCTACTAAAAAATACAAAAAACTAGCCGGGCAAGGTGGTGGGCGCATGTAGTCCCAGCTACTCAGGAGGCTGAGGCCGGAGAATGGCGTGAACCCGGGAGGCAGAGCTTGCAGTGAGCTGAGATCCGGCCACTGCACTCCAGCCTGGACGACAGAGCCAGACTCCGTCTCAAAAAAAAAAAAAAAATTGAAACTAAATTGCCTCAAGCTAGTAGTTCTGCAGTATCTGACAGATGTCAAATATCACTGTGTTCCTTGAAGTTTAAAATATCCCCTGCTGCCCTTATGAGTTTATTGCAGTGTTCTAGGGTGTTTGGAAACCTAGGATATTAGTAAGTAAGCCATCACTTACTGCCTTGTAACTATGCTTGTAATAATATTGTGTTATAGTGATTAATAATGTTAATTAAATTTTCTGATTTCAGACTTGACAATTATTGGTTACTTTTATTTATGTTTCTGGTATGCTTTATTAATGAAGAGTTTATCTTAAAGTATAATATGTTCAGATAGCTCAATCTGTTGATTAAAATCACTGAGTTTGAAATATTGAGTGTTTTATATTTGTTATATTTTCTGTTTTAGTACCTTACCGGTAACAAATGTGGCAAATATGTGGACATTGGAGTCTTAGCATCTGATTTACAAAGAATGTACAGGTATATAAATAGTTTCCAGATCCTTAAATTTTTATTTCCCCTTTACCATTTTGAAAGTTTATATCCTGCTTAAATTTCTAGTTGATATCAATAGCTGTTGGCATTAGTTCACCAATCCATAATCTTGGAACTCAATTTGGTTATGCATACATTTGTCAAATACCTATTATGTGCGTAAGATGTCTTTTGTACTGTGGGAAGTGGTCGCTGCTTATCTTTTAGTACCTCACAGTCTGGTCAAGAGATAGAGATGTTATTATATCACTTCCTTTCCTGCTTCATTAGAAAATTAAAACCAGGCCAGGCATAATGGCTCATGCCTGTAATCTCAGCACTTTGGGAGGCTGAGGTGGGAGGATGGCTTAAGCCCAGGAGTTTGAGACCAGCCTGGGCAACATGGTGAAACTCCATCTGTACAAAAAATATACAAAAATTTGCCAGGCTTGGTGGCATGCACCTGTGGTCCCACCTACTTGGGAGACTGAGGTGGGAGAATCACTTGAGCCCAGGAGGTCAAGGCTGTAGTGAGTTGTGGTCATGCCACTGCACTCTAACCTCAGTGACAGAATGAGATCCTCTCCCAAAAAAGAAAGAAAGAAAATTAAAACCATCACCAGCAGGTATGATCTCTCTGAGTTTTCTGACTCCTTTTTTTTTTTTTGAGACGGATTTTCGCTCTTGTTGCCCAGGCTGGAGTGCAATGGTGCAACCTCAGCTAACCACAACCTCTGCTTCCCAGGTTCAAGCAATTCTCCTGCCTCAGCCTCCCAAGTAGCTGGGATTACAGGCATGTGCCATCACACCTGGGTGATTTTGTATTTTTAGTAGAAACAGGGTTTCACCAGGTTGGCCAGGCTGGTCTCAAACTCCTGACCTCAGGTGACCTGCCCGCCTTGGCCTACCAAGGTGCTGGGATTACAGGCGTGAGCCATGGCACCTGGCCTCTTTTTTTTTTAAATACAATTTTTAGTTTTATTTTGTGGAGATAGGACCTTCTGTATTTGCCCAGGTTGATCTTGAACACCTGACCTCGAGTGATCCTTCCACGTTGGCCTCTCTAAGTGCTAGGATGATAGACTTGAGCCAGCATGCCCAGCCAGCTTCCTGAGTTTGTTTGTTTGTTTGTTTGTTTTTGGTCTTGCTCTGTTGTCCAGGCTGGAGTGCAGTGGATCTCAGCTCACTGCAAGCTCCGCCTCCTGGGTTCAAGTGATTCTCCTGCCTCGGCCTCCTGAATAGCTGGGATTACAGGCATGCGCTAACCACACCCACCTAATTTTTGTATTTTTAATAGAGATGGGGTTTCACCATGTTGGCCAGGCTGGTCTTGAACTCCTGACCTCAGGTGATCCTCCTGCCTCGTCCTCCCAAAGTGCTAGGGTTATAGGGGTGAGCCACCCCACCTGGCCAAGAATACCTTAATTATTTCTAAAGGCCCTATCCCCAAATATAGTCACATTCTGAGGTACTAGAGTTTAGGACCTCAACGTAAGAATTTAAGGGAAACACAATTCAGCTTATTGGACTCTGTGCTGTGGCTCCCAAAATTCACGTCCTCATATGCAGATACATTATTCCATTCCACAAGCCCCAAAAGTCTTAACTCATTTTAGCATCAACTCTTAAGTCCAAACTCTTATCTAAGTATCATCTAAATCAGGCCAGATGCAAGGACTCACCCCAATAATCCCAGCATTTTGAGAGGCCAATGGCTTAAGGCCATAGAGTTCAAGACCAGCCTGGGGAACACAGTGAGACTCCGTCTTTACAAAATAAAAATAGAAGGCCGGGCACGGTGGCTCAAGCCTGTAATCTCAGCACTTTGGGAGGCCGAGACGGGCGGATCATGAGGTCAGGAGATCGAGACCATCCTGGCTAACACGGTGAAACCCGTCTCTACTAAAAAATACAAAAAAAACTAGCCAGGTGAGGTGGCGGGCACCTGTTACTCGGGAGGCTGAGGCAGGAGAATGGCGTGAACCTGGGAGGCGGAGCTTGCAGTGAGCTGAGATCTGGCCACTGTACTCCAGCCTGGGCGGCAGAGCGAGACTCGGTCTCAAAAAAAAAAAAAAAAAGAAAAATAGAAATAATTAGCTGGGCATGGTGGCATGAACCTGTATTCCTTGCTGTTCGGGAGGCTGAGATGAGAGGATCGCTTGAGCCCAAGAGTTCAAGGTTGCAGTGAGCTATGATTGCACCAGTGCACTCCAGCTGGGTAACAGAGCAAGACCCTGTCTCTAAATATAAAATAAATAAATAAAAATAATGTTATATAAATTAATTGGTAATGGCTGAGATTCAAGGTATGATTTATCCTGGGGCAAAATTCCTCTTCATCTATTAACCTGTGAAACCAGACAAGTTATCTGCTTCCAAAATACAGGCATGTCCTATATAACAATGTTTCAGTCAAATGATGGACCTCATGTATGATGGTGATACCGTAAGACTGTTACATCATATTTGTACTGTACCTTTTCTGTGTTTAGATGTGTTTAAATACACAATATCATTGTTTTACAGTTGCCTATAGTATTTAGTGCAATAATACGCTGTATAGGTTTGTAGGCAGAGTAGGCTATACCATGTAGTCTAGGTGTGTAATAGGCTAGCCCATCTAGGTTTGTGTAAGTACACTCTTACTTATTTTTGTTTTCATACAATGAGAATGCCTAATGATAAACTTCTCAGAATGTGTCTCCATTGTTTAGTGACGCACGATTGTACAATGGCAGGACAGGCATAGGTGTAGGTTAGACATTCCTATTCTAAAAGAGAGCAATTGGAAAAAAAGAAAGGGTCATGGGTCCTAAGCAAGTCCAAAACCAAGCAGGGCAAATGTCATTAGATTTTCAGGCTTTAGAGTAATCCTCTTTGGCTTGATGCCCTGCCCTGTGGGCTCAGTAGGGTGGTGATCCTGCCCTGTTACCTAGGAGGAGACAGCCCCACCTGCCACACCTGTGCCCTCTGGGCCTGTGTTAGCAGTGGCAGCCCTGCCTTCTTTTGATCCTCCTTAAGGGTCATTCTTCCCTTTTCTTGAAGGATAACTTGTGTTCACAGCTGGATAGTTTTATTAGCCCTTTCCTATAGATTCCTGAAAGTCCAACAGCCTTCCTTAATTTTGTCCCCATCTCTGTCCCTTCAGTCCAAGCTGGCAGTGTTTCTGTTGCTTTAACCCCATCTCTATTCCTGGCTTCTGCTGAGATGGCTGACTGAATCCATAAGTCATATGCTGGTAATCGCTTTAGCAAATTGTTGTCCCCCCACACTCTTGATGTCCTCTTTAGATTATGCTTTTTCGGCCGGGCGCGGTGGCTCAAGCCTGTAATCCCAGCACTTTGGGAGGCCGAGGTGGGCGGATCACGAGGTCAGGAGATCGAGACCATCCTGGCTAACAGGGTGAAACCCCGTCTCTACTAAAAAATACAAAAAACTAGCCAGGCGAGGTGGCGGGCGCCTGTAGTCCCAGCTACTCGGGAGGCTGAGGCAGGAGAATGGTGTGAACCCGGGAGGCGGAGCTTGCAGTGAGCTGAGATCCAGCCACTGCACTCCAGCCTGGGCGACAGAGCGAGACTCCGTCTCAAAAAAAAAAAAAAAAAAAAAGATTATGCTTTTTCATTTTTTACAATGTGGATAAACTGAGAATTTTCTAATCTTCAGGTTCTGGTTTCCTTTTTGTTGAGCAATTCCTTCTTTATCTCTCTTTATACTGTAAAATTTCACTATAAGCAGCAAGGAGAAATCAGGCCACACTTCAGCACTTTGCTTGGAAATCTGAGTGAAATATCCAGATTCATCACTTACAAGTTCTACTTTTAAAACAGTAAAACACAAGTCCTCTGCCACTTCATAACATGGACTGTCTTTCTTCCAATTTCCAATAACATGCTTCTCATTTCTGTCCGAGACCTCACCAGAAGCATCTTTAACATTCAAATTTCTACTAGCATTCTCTCTCTCTATGTAACTATAGAACCTTCCTGTACAACTCTTCTCTTGTTTTTCTGAGCTCTTACTAGAATTGCCTTCAGTGTCCTTTTTTTTTTTTTTTTTTTTTTTTGAGATGAAGTCTCACTCTGTCACCCAGGCCGGAGTGCAGTGGCGCAGTCTCAGGTCACTGCAACCTCTGCCTCCCGGGTTCAAGCAATTTTCCTGCCTCAGCCTCCCAAGTAGCTGGGACTATGGGTGCACATCGCCATACCTGGCTAATTTTTTGTATTTTAGTAGAGACAGAGTTTCACCGTGTTGCCAAGGCTGGTCTTAAACTCCTGAGCTCAGGCAATTTGCCCACTTCAGCCTCCCGACATGCTAGGATTACAGGCGTGAGCCACCACGCCCTGCAGTGTTCGTATTTCTAACAGCAGTCCCTTCAGAGCCATCTAGGTTTCTTCTAACATGTACCTCAAAGCTCTCTGGCCTCTATTACCTAGTTCCAAAACCATTTCTACATTTTAAGGTATTTGTCACAGTAGCACTATACTAACCAGTACCAAACTCTGTATTAGAAAGGAAGAAAAGAAGAGAAACTAAGAAGGCTTTTAAAAACAATAGTGTACCTCACTTTGGCTACCACCCAGTAGTATTTTTCCTTCTCTTTATCAGAATTTATTTAACGAGTGGTCTAAGGCCAAGGCGCAGTGGCTCACACCTATAATTTCAGCACTTAGAGAGGCTAACACAGGAGGATTGCTTGAGGCCAGGAGTTTGAGACCAGCCTGGGCAACATAGCAAGAATCTATCTCTACAAAAAAAATTAAAAATTAGCGTGGCATGGTGGCATGCAGCTGTAGTCAGTCCTAGCTACTCGGGAAGTTGAGGCAGGAGGATCCCTTGAGGCCAGGAATTCAAGGCTGCAGTGAGCTACGATCGCACCACTGCACTGAAGCGTGGGTGACAGAGCAAGACCCTGTCTTTTAAAAAATAAAAATAAAGACTCAGCTAAGATTGTTTATATCCCCACCACTCACTCCATTGAAATCTATGAACTGTGTTTTGTTGGTAACCTTTTTTCTTAGTTGATGGTATGACTGTTACTCAGCCAGTCACCCAGGTTAATCTATCTGTTGTCTACTTCCTTCTACCTAGCCTTGAATCCCCCTGCCATGTCTATAATAAGTCACCAAGAAGCCTTGCTGTTGTCACTTAAATAGTTCATGATGCCTCTTCTCTCTTTTCCTTACCATTACTAGCCTAATCCAGAGCCTCATTATTTCTTGTCTAGACTACAAGACTTGTTTTTTTTGTTTTTTTTTTTTTTTGAGATGGACTCTCACTCTGTCACCTAGGCTGGACTGCAGCAGCACAATCTCGGCTCACTGCAACCTCCACCTCCTGGGTTGAAGTGACTCTCCTGCCTCAGCCTCCCGAGTAGCCAGGACTACAGGTCCATGCCACCATACCCAGCTAATTTTTGTATTTTTAGTAGAGATAGGGTTTCGCCATGCTGGCCAGGCTGGTCTTGAATTCCTGACCTCAAGTGATCCTCCCACCTTGACCTCCCAGTGTGTTGGGATTATAGGCATGAGCCACTGCGCCTGGCCTGTTTCAGCTTTTAAACATTCTTCCTACATCTATCTGCCATCTTCTCTTATCCAGGTGTTGGCAAACTATGGCCCTCAAACCGGTTCCTGCCTGCCACCTTGTTTTGTATGGCCCATGAGCTAAGAATCATTTTTACATCTTTCTTTCTCTCTTTATTTTAATTTTTAATTAATTATTATTATTATTATTGGAGACACAGTCTCGCACTGTCACCCAGGTTGGAGTGCAGTGGCGCAATCTCGGCTCACTGCAGCTTCAGCCCCCTGGGCTCAAGTGATCCTCCCGCCTCAGCCCCCAGATAGCTGGCACGAAGCACATGCCACCATGCCCTGCTAATTTTTTGTATTTTTTGTAGGGACAGGGTTTTGCAATGTTGCGCAGGCTGGCCTTGAACTCTTGAGCTCAAGTGATCCTCCCGCCTCAGCCTCCCAAAGTGCTAGGATTCCAGGCATGAGCCACCGCGCCAGGCCCCAAGTTGCCTTTTTAAATGGTCATGATTTAGTACAATATTTGCCTCTTCTAAAACTTTGTGTTTTGATGTAATTTCACATTTAAGAAAAGCTGATCCAGACCAGCTTAGACAACATAGTGAGACCCCCATCTCTACAAAAATAATCAAAAAATTAACTAGGTGTGCTGGCATGTGTCTGTTGTCGTACCTACTCAGGAGGCTGGGGTGGGAGGATTGCTTGACACCAGGAGGTCGAGGTTGTGGCACACTCTGATTGCACAACTACACTCCAGCCTGACTGAGAGAATGAGACCCTGTCTCAAAAACATAAAGAATTTTTTTTTTTTTTTTTTTTTGAGATGGAGTCTCACTCTGTCACCCAGGCTGGAGTGTGGTGGTGTGATCTCGGCTCACTGCAACCTTCACCTCCTGGGCTCAAGCGATACTCCTGCCTCAGCTCCCAAGTAGCTGGGATTACAGGCACCCACTACCATGCCTGGCTAGTTTTTGTATTTTTAGTAGACATTGGAGTTTTACCATGTTGGCCAGGCTGGTTTTGAACTCCTGATCACAAATGATCCACCCACTTTGGCCTCCCAAAGTACTGGGATTACAGGTGTGAGCCACTGCGCCGGCAAGAATTTTTATAAAGAGGAAAATGGAAAGAATAGAACAAAGAACACCCATATACTCTACCTAGAATATCCCTTTATCCATGCATACTATGTATTCCCTAAGGACAAAGGCTTTTATTATATAACCACAGTTTATTTATTAAAACCAGAAAATGTAATCTTGATTCAATAATGTTATCAAATCCACCATTCATATTCAGAGTTTGCCTATCTCAGTAATGTTCTTTGTAGCTGTTATTTTATGGGAATTTTTTTTCCAGAACTGAAATCCAACCCCTAAATTATGCTTGTTTTGCTTTTTAGTTTCCTTTAATCTGCAACAGTTCCTCAACCTTTTTTTGTTTTTCATGATCTCTACATTTTTGAAGATTTCTGGTAGTCACTATATTAGAATATCCCTCAATTTGAATTTTTCTGCTGTTTCCACATGGTTGAAATCAGGTTATATGTTTTTGGAAGGAAAACCAAAGAAGCAATTTGACTTCAAAAGGCACAGAATATCTGTGTGGGGTGTTATTCGGTAATGTTAGTTTTGATCAATCCACTGTAAATTAATTTGAAATTAATAAATAATTTATAAGAAGATATTTTCAGATTATATAAATATCCTGTACTCATCATACTTTCACCCATATTTTTAGCAGATGGTCTTGCTAAAAATATTTAACTTGAATTTAATAATGAGGAGACATAAATTCAGATTGTGGGACATTTTATAAATTAGCTGGCCTGGATCCTTCAAAAATGTCAGTGTTATATGCACAAAGGTTACAAGTTAAAAAAGTTCAAAGAGACACAACGACCAAGTAAATGCATGAACCTTGACTAGACACTGGGTCAAAGAAAAACAACTATAAAGACCATTTTTTGGGAATAATTTGAGAAATTTTAATATGGACTGTATATTAGATAATTTACCAATATTAAATTTCTTATTTGTGCTAACTGTATTGTGGCTGTGCAGTTATCCTTTTTTTTTTGTTTTTTGAGATGGAGTCTCGCTCTGTTGCCCAGACTGGAGTGCAGTGGTACAATCTCGGCTCACTGCAACCTCCACCTCCCGGGTTCACGGGATTCTCCTGCCTCAGTCTCCCGAGCAGCTGGGACCACAGGTGTGTGCCACCACACCCAGCTGATTTTTTTTTTGTTTTGAGACAGAGTCTCACTCTGTCACCCAGACTGGATTGCAGTGGCGTAATCTCGGTTCACTGCAAGCTCTGCCTCCCGGGTTCACGCATTCTCTTGCTTCAGGCTCCCGAGTAGCTGGGACTACAGGTGCCTGCCACCACACCTGGCTAATTTTTTTTTTTTTTTTTTTTTTTTTTTTTTTTTTTTTTGTATTTTTAGAAGAGACGGGGTTTCACCATGTTAGCCAGGATGATCTCGATCTCCTGACCTTGTGATCCACCCACCTCGGCCTCCTGAAGTTTTGGAATTACAGGCGTGAACCACGGTGCCTGGCTGCAGATATTCTTTTTTACAGAGATACATGCTGAGAATTTTTGAGATGAAGGGTCTGTAACTTAGTTTCTTCTTATTAGTTTTTTAATTTATTATTTTTTTTTGAGATGAGATCTTGCTCTGTTGGCCAAGCCAAGTGCATTGGTGCAATCATGGCTCACGGCAGCCTTCACCTCCCAGACTCAAGCTGTCCTCCCACCTCAGCCTCCCAAGTAGCTGGGACTACAGCCATGTACTACCATACCTGGCTAATTTTTTTATATTTTGTAGGGACAGGGTTTCCCTATGTTGGCAGGGATGGTCTCAAACTCCTGGGCTCAAGTGATTCTCCCACCTCGGCCTCCCACAGTGCTGGGATTACAGGCATGAGCCACTGTGCCTGGCCTAGAACTTATTTTCAAATGGTTCTGCCCTACCCCTCCAAAAGAAATCTCTGTATACAGACAGAAGTAAAGTAAATGTGGCAGCTTGAGAATACTATAGGTAAAGAATATATGAGTGTTGATTACATTATTTCTTTAATATTTTTAGTAAGTTTGAAATTTTCAAAATATTTGAAGCAAAGAAGGTTAGTTAAAAAAAGGGAAAAAATGGAGAAGGGTCACAATAGTAAATATATAAACTTAGAAGTTTGAAAATAAGTTTATGGCAAGTGTCTATACTGTAACATAATGAAATATTCATGCAAATTTATTTGATCCATGTAGATTGAACTTAATGGAAAAATACTGGTGGAAACTACTATGCTAAACTTCATGTTTTCTTTTTTCAGTATAGACTATGGTCGAAGAAAAAGAAATGCTTTTAGGATTCAGGTAGAAAAAGGTGAGTCTTTTATTGTTAGAGCTAAATTATTGATAAAGTTATATAAACAATTGTTTGAGCTCATAGCATTTTTCTTTTTGTTTCAGTATTTAGCATAATTAGTAGTGAGAAGGAACTTAAGAATTTAACAGAATTAGAAGATGAACATTTAGCAAAAAGAGCAAGACAAGGTGAAGAGGACAATGAGTAAGTATACAAAATGCAGCATTTTTTTAAACCATGAACCTTGTCACGTTACATTCCTGCTTGTAAAACTTTCAATGGCTCTTCCTTGCCAACAAAGCCCTGCGTAGTATTTACCTAACCTCTTCAGCCATATTGAATGTTCTTTATTCCCCAAAGAGATCAGATTCTCTGTGGCTGTGGTTTTGTTGAGTTAGAGCATCATTTCCCTTTCACAAACTCCCACTCAGCCCTCAAGAATCAATTGAAATGTTACTGCCTTTATTAGGCCTAAGACCCCTTTTTAAATGTTTCCTTAGCTTCTAGTTACAGATATTTGTTATAATCCTTATGATATCATATGGCATTGAAATTATTTGCTTACTTGTTTGCATTACCAACAGTACTGTCTCATTACCTTCTTCTTCTGCCCTAACACAACATCAGATATATAAAAAGGTGCCAATTAATTTTGTTTAAGAAATAGTATTGAGAGTTTTAAAAATATCTTTATTGAGGTATAATTGACATCAGTAAGCTCTACTTTATTTATTTATTTTTTTTTTGAGATTAAGTCTCACTCTGTCACCCAGGCTGGAGTGCAGTGGCAAGATCTCGGCTCACTGCAACCTCCGCCTCCTGGATTCAAGTGATTCTCCTGCCTTAACCTCCCAAGTAGCTGGGGTTACAGTCATGTGCCACCACACCCGGCTACTTTTTTATATTTTTGGTAGAGACGGGGTTTCACCATGTTGGCCAGGCTGGTCTCAAACTCCTGACATCTAGTGATCCACCCACCTCGGCCTCCCAAAGTGCTGGGATTACAGGCGTGAGCCATTGCGCCCACCCGGCCAAGCTCTACGTTTTTAAAGTGTACAGTTTGTTAACTTTTGACGTAGGTATATACTCATTGAACTATCACCATAAGTAAGATACTGAACCTTTCCATAAATATCAAAAGTCTTCTTGTTCCCCTTTGCAATTCATTTCTCCCTCCACCCCTGTTTCTAGGCAAACTTTTTTGTTTTTGTTTTTGTTTTTTTTTTGAAGTAGTGTTTTACTCTGTCACCCAGGCTGGAGTTCGATCACAGCTCATTGCAGCCTTGACTTCCCAGGTTACTTGATTCTTCTACTTCAGCCTCCGAAGTAGCTGTAGGCACATGCTACCACACCTAGCTAATTTTTTGTAGAAACGGAGTTTTGCCATGTTGCCCAGGTTGGTCTTGAACTTCTAGGCCCAAGCAGTCTGCCTGCTTGAGCCTCCCAAAGTGTTGGGATTATAGGTGTGAGCCATAGCACCCAGCTTTAGGCAACCATTGATTTGCTTTCTGTCACTGTGTGTTACATTGCATTTTGTAGAATTTTATTTGGAATCATACTTTTAAAGTCTGGATTCTTTTGTTCTTTCACTTAGCGTAATGATTTTGAGGTTTATCAATGTTGTGTGTATCAATAGTTCATTGCTTTTTATTGATGAGTATGTGTGGACATGCCACAATTATTTTATCTGTTTATCTATTTTGTTTTTGTTTTTGTTTTTTTTGAGACAGGGTCTCACTTTGTTGCCCAGGCTGGAATGTAGTGGAGTGGCATATCACAACTCACTGCAGCCTCTACCTCCTGGGCTCAAGCGATTCTCCCATACAGGTGCATGCTACCATGCCCAGTTAATTTTCTAATTTTTTGTAGAAACAGGGGTCTCACTATGTTTCCAGGCTGCTCTCATACTACTGGGTTCAAGCAATTCTCTTGCCTCAGACTCCCAGAGTGCTGGGATTACAGGTGTGAACCACCTTACCTGACCTATCTGTTTATCTCTTGTTGGGCAGTTGGTTTGTTTCCAGTTTCTGGCTATTACAAATTAAGCTGCGATGAACATTTATGTCCAGGTCTTTATGTGGACAGTATTTTCATCTCCTTTATTAAATATGTAAGATTGGAATAGCGGGGTCATGTGATAGATGCATATTTAAGAAATTGCCAAACTATTTTCCAATGTATTTGTACCATTTTACTTTTACATTAGCAGTTTATGAGAATTCTACTCTTTCCACAAATTGCTAATATTTGGTATGGTCAGTGTTTAATTTTCAGTAGTATTTCACTGTAAATATGACATTAGCTTTAGGTTTTTTTGTAGATGTCCTTTGTCAGACTGAGGAAGTTTCCTAATATTCCTAGATTGCTGAGAATTTTTGTCATGAATAGATATTGCATTTGTCAAATGCTTTTCTGCATCTGTTGAAACATATCATTATGGCCTTTCCCTTTTAGTCTGTTAATTTGGTGAATTACATTGGTTCCCAGTATTAAGCCAATCTTGCATTCTGGGGATAAACACTACTTGGTCCTGATCTGTTATCTTTTTAATGTATTGTTGGCAGCCTGAGCAACATAGCGAGACTCTGTCTCTACAGAAAATTTAAAAATTAGCCAGGCATGGCGGTGCGTGATTCTATCCCAGCTTCTTTGGTAGCTGAGGTAGGAGGATTGCTTGAGCCCTGGAGTTGAAGGTTACAATGAGCTATAATTATGCCACTGCACTCCAGCCTGGGTGACAGAATGAGATCTAGTCTCTGAAGAAAAAAAAAAAAAGGAAAAAGAGTATTTGTTTGATGTTGTTTTCTTGAGATGGAGTCTCGCTCTTGTTGCCCAGGCTGGAGTGCAATAGCGTGATCTTGGCTCACTGCAACCACTGCCTCTCGGGTTTAAGCCATTCTCCTGCCTCAGCCTCCTGAGTAGCTGGGATTACAGGCACCTGCCACCATGCCCGGCTAATTTTCGAAAAGAAAGGGTATTAATTGGATTCAGTTTACTAATCTTTTTCTACAGATGTTTGCGTTTGTATGTCATATTGGTCCGAATTTTCTTTTACTCATTTTTGGAATGTCTGTCATGTTTTGGTGTTAGGGTTACACCGGCCTCATGATATTAGTGGGCAAGTGTTCTTTTGTTTTCTATTTTATGAAAACAAATTATGGAAATTCTTTTTTGAATATTTATTAGTGTTCACCCACAGTTTATCTAGGCCTAGAATCAACTTCCCCCAGAGTCTTCTTTTTCTGAAGGATTTTGATAAATTTTATCCTTATGTCAATTGTGAAAAATTGTATTTTTAAATCATTTGTTCATTTTCTCTCAGGTGTGGGATTTGTTGGCATAATGCTTCTGCAATATTCTCTTGTCATCCTTTTAATGTCTATAGGATTTGGGGTGATAGCCCCATTTTACTGTTTGTAGCTCAACCTTTTTCATTTAGATTTAGCATAATTTTCTTCAGTTCCATATTCATGAGTATTTGTTTGTGTTACACTGTTGCATAATAAATAACTCTTTACTGCATATATCTTTGTACACATCACTTTTTTTTTTTTTTTTTTTTTTTTGAGATGGAGTCTGGTTCTGTGGCCCAGGCTGGAGTGCAGTGGCGTGATCTCGGCTTACTGCAAGCTGCGCTTCCCGGGCTCATGCCGTTCTCCTGACTCAGCCTCCCGAGTAGCTGGGACTACAGGCGCCCGCCATCACTCCCGGCTAATTTTTCTATTTTTAGTAGAGTCGGAGTTTCACCGTGTTAGCCAGGATGATCTCAGTTTCCTGACCTTGTGATCCGCCCGCCTTGGCCTCCCAAAGTGCTGGGATTATAGGCGTGAGCCACCGCGCCCGGCCCACATCACTTTTTTATGTTGAATTTTTGGGGTGGAATTTCTCAAAGATTGATATTTTTGAGATTTCTCGTGCATTTGGACTTACCTTCCTAAAAATGTTGCCTCAGTTTATATTCCCAACAACTTTGTATAAAGGGCACATTTCTCTGCATCCCTGCAATCTTAGTTATACTCTAATTTATCTTTGCTGTTTTTATAGGCAAAATATTGATCTTTTTTTTTTTTTCTTTTTTTGAGACGGAGTCTTGCTCTGTCACCCAGGCTGGAGTCCAGTGGTGCGATCTTGGCTCACTGCATCCTCTGCCTCCCGAGTTCAAGCAATTCTCTTGCCTCAGCCTCCTGAGTAGTTGGGACTACAGGCGTCCACCACCACTCCTGGCCAATTTTTGTATTTTTAGTGGAGACAGGGTTTCATCATATTGGCCAGGCTGGTCTTAAACTCCTGACCTCAGGCAATCCGCCCACCTCGGCCTCCCAAAGTTCTGGGATCACAGGCTTGAGTCACTGCTCCTGGCCTTGATCATATTTTTCTTTGTAATTTTATAATTACTGAGGTTAGTTTTTTTGTTATTTCATATTTGTTTTGTGAATGGCTTGCTTTATGGGTTTTTTTCTATTTCATTTGAGAGGTATTTGAATTTTCCTTATTAGTTGTCGGAGTGTTTTGCATAAAATATACCTCTTTTTATATGTATTACAACTGCTTTCCCCATGTTGCCACTTCCCTTTTAATTTTTGTTTGCACCGTCTTTTGATTAGAGAAGTTTTGCATTTTTATATAGTCAAATCTTTCAGTCTTTTTCATTTTGGTTTATGCTGATATGCTTAGAAAGACCTCTCTCACAAGAGTGTGTAAAATAATTACTTACACTTTTTTCTTCTTTCTTTATGATGTTTAACTCTTTAATCCACTTGGAATTTTTTTTCTTTTTTTAGGGCATAAGTTGTAAGGCAAAACTTTTTTTTTTCCCAAATAGTTGAATGAAATACCTTATTTACATTGATTAGAATTGCTCCCAAGTAATACTGATTAATTTTAATGAACATAGAATTTGCTGGTTTTTTTTTTTTTTTATTGAGACAGGGTCTTGCTCTGTCACCCAGGCTTCAGTGCACTGACACAATCATGGCTCACCACAGTCTTGATATCCCAGGCCCAAGTGATCCTTCCACCTCAGCCTCACAAGTAGCTGGGACTACACGTATGCACCAGCATGCCCAGCTAATTTTTTAATTTTTTTGTAGAGACACAGTCTCCCTTGGTTGCCCAGGCTATAATTTGTATCTTAATATCTTAATTATAACAGCATTTCATTGCATTCATATGAAGCTTTCTACAAAAAAAAAAAAAATCACCACAGTCTTGATGTCCCAGGCCCAAGTGATCCTTCCACCTCAGCCTCACAAGTAGCTGGGACTACACGTATGCACCAGCATGCCCAGCTAATTTTTTAATTTTTTTGTAGAGACACAGTCTCCCTGGCTGCCCAGGCTATAATTTGTATCTTAATATCTAATTTTAACAGCATTTCATTGCATTCATATGAAGTTTTCACAAAAAAAAAAAAAAAAGAAAAAGTCTTTCTATTTAAACCAAATAGTTGAATGAAATACCTTATTTACATTGATTAGAATTGCTCCAAAAAAAAAAAAATAAATTTTTTTTTTTATATTTTTTTTTTTTTTTTTTTTTTTTTTTTTTTGAGACAGTATCATACTGTCAGCCAGGCTGGAGCGCAGTGGCACGATCTTGGCTCACTGCAACCTCCATACCCTGGGCTCAAGCAATTCTCCTGCCTCAGCCTCCCGAGTAGCTGGGATGTGCCACCACACCTGGCTGAGTTTTGTATTTTTAGTAGAGACGGGGTTTCACCATGTTGACCAGACTGGTCTCTGTGAGCTCCTGACCTCAGGTAATCCACCCTCCTCGGCCTCCCAAAGTGCTGGGATTACAGGCACCGCGCCGGGCCTATTTAAATAATTTCCGAAGAAGTTTTAAATACTAGCAGAGTCCTAAAGTTACTTGAAGCTATTAGATAACAACTTTCAGTTATAATTAATTAAGACTACATTCTCAGCTTGTAGTTTATTAGGATTTATACTTCTTTTTTGATACAGGAAATTTATTTGCTCCTTCATCCCTGATGAACAGTCTTGGAGAAGTTGTATTTGGTTACATGGTTTGGTCATGTTGACTTTGTGAATTTGTTACTCAGAGTGCTTAATTATAGGTTGCTGAAGTATTTCCTCTACCTGAATCTGATATCCCCAAATGAGACCCTTGGGCCTGATGGAATTTGTATCTTTTATTTATTGCTAGGATAAATATAACTATAATTTATTTTGCATTTATGATACATTGTAAATGCATAAGGACTTTGCAAGCATTTATTTAATCCTTTGATAACTCTGGGAGACAGACATTACTTATTAAATCTCCGTTTTATAGATAAGGAAGCTGATGCTTAGAGAGGTTAAGTAATAACTGGTTAAGTTGGATTTTGAATCCTAGTTTCTCTGATTCCAGAGTTTGGACTCTTAACCACCATAATCGTTTGCCTGAATATATTTACTTGTTTCGGGTAATCATTTTTTTAGGATATGGGAGACAAAGTCTTTAAAACATTTTTCCCTCTTTTTACTGAGGTATACTGAAAGCTATTCTGATGATGATTCAAGTATGGAAGACTACCCAGATCCACAGGTAAGCCAAACATTTAGTGGGTCCACTTTGATTTTTTTAGTCGTTGTGATACCTCCTTTGAAAAACTCAGTAAGAGCTGGGCGTGGTGACTCACACCTGTAATCCCAGCACTTTGGGAGGCTGAGGCATGCAGATCACTTGAACCCAGGAGTTTGAGACCATCCTGGCCTACATGGCAAAACCCCGTCTCTATAAAAACTACCAAAAAAATAAGCCTGGCCAACATGGTGAAACCTTGTCTCTATAAAAAATACAAAAATTTGCCGGGCATGGTGGCATGCACCTGTGATCCCAGCTACCTGGGGGGGCTGAGGTGGGAGAATCACTTGAGCCCAGGAGGTTGAGGCTGCAGTGAGCTGTGATTGTGCCACTTTACTCCAGCCTGGTGACAGAGTGAGACCTTGTCTTTTAAAAAAAAAATAAGGTTAGCTGTCGTGGCTCACACCTGTAATCCTAGCACTTTGGAAGACCAAGGAGGGTGGATCACTTGAGCCGAGGAGTTCGAGACCAGCCTATGTAACATGGCAGAACCCCATCTCTCCCAAAAAAAACTCCCAAAATTAGCCAGGTGTAATACCTTGCACCTGTGGTCCCAGCTACTCAGGAAGCTGAGGTGGGAGGATCACTTAAGCCCAGGAGGCAGAGGTTGCAGTGAGCTGGGATTGCACCACTGCACTCCAGCCTGAGCAACAAAACCAGATCCTGTCTCAAAAAAAAAAAAAAAAAAATTAGTAAGAAATAGAATAAAAGGCCAGGTGCTGTGGCTCACGTCTGTAATTCCAGCACTTTGGGAGGCTGAGGCAGGAAAATCACTTGAAACCAGGGGTTCAAGACCAGCTTGGGCAACACAGCAAGACTCTGTCTCTACAAAATACAAACAAAAATTAACTGGGTCTGGTGGCATACACCCATAGTCCTAGCTACTCAGGAGACTGATGCTGGAGGATCGCTTGAGCCCAGGAGTTTGAGGCTACAGTGAACTATGATTGTGCCATTCTACTTCAGTCTGGGTGACAGACCTTATGGCAAAAGAGAGAGAGAGAAGAGAAGGAAAGAAAGAGGGGAAGAAAAAAAGGATTAGGGCTAAAGGGAGGGAGAGAGGAAGGACAGGGAATAGAATAAGAGACTTTAGACATCTTCATCAATAAATAATTGAACACTTTCTGTGTTCAGTATTGGTGATGGATTAACCATCCTTCCAGTATTTGTGTTATAAGTCAGTTATACAAGGAAAAAGAAGGGAAGAGGATAGCTAGAAATAAGGGCAGACAAGAATAGAGTAATTAATAGTAAAAATGGAAAAAGGGATATACTTTTTGTCAAGGAGATGGCATTACTAATGAAGAGGCTTGATTAAAGGAGAATATGGAGATAATATAGTCAGCCCTCACCCTCCATGGGGGATTGGCCCTAGGGTCCCACATGAATACCTGCAAATGTTCAGGTCCCTTATGTAAAATGGCATCATGTTTGCATATAACCTTATATACATCCTCTTGTATACTTTAAATTATCTCTGGATTACTTATAATACCTAATACAATGTAAATAAGATGTAAATAGTTTTTACACTATTTCTTTCTTTTTTTTTTTGAAAGGGAGTCTCACTCTGTTGCCCAAGCTGGAGTGCAGTGGTGCAATCTCAGCTCACTGCAACCTCTGCCTCCCAGGCTCAAGCAATTCTCCTGACTCAGCCTCCTGAGTAGCTGGGATTACAGGCAGGGTCTCACTTTGTCGCCCAAACTGGAGTGGAGTGGCGTCATCTTGGCTCACTGCACCCTCTGCCTCCCAAGTTCAAGTGATTCTCATGCCTCAGCCTCCTGAGTAGCTGGGATTACAGGCATGCACCACAACACCTAGCTAATTTTTGGTGTTTTTAGTAGAGATGGGGTTTCACCATGTTGACCAGGCTGGTCTTGAACTCCTGGCCTTGAGTGATCCACCCACCTTGGCCTCCCAAAGTGCTGGGATTACAAACGTGAGCCACCATGCCCAGCCTACACTGTATTTCTTAATATTTGTATTATTTTTACTGGTGTATTTTTTTATTGCTTTTTATTTCCCAAATATTTTCGATTGAGGTTCATCGAATCCCTGGATGCAGAACCCTTGGATATAGAGGGCCAACTGTTTGTCAAATTATTTATAATTTGCTTTTTATTTTTTCCCTTGGTATATCAGTTTTGAATTTATTATCAAAATATTTGATCCAATTTTTGTGGGGACAGAGTCTCACTCTGTCACCCAGGCTGGAGTACAGTGGCATGGTCCTAGCTCACTGCAACCTCAAACTCTTGGACTCAAGTTGTCCTCCTACCTCAGCCTCCCAAGTAGCTAGGATAACAGACATGTGCCACCATGTCTGGGTAAATTTTAAATTTTTTGTAGAGACAGGGTCTCGCTATGTTGCCCAGGATAGTCTCGAACTCCAGGCCTCAAGCAGTTTTCCCAGTTTGGCCTCCCAAAGTGTTGGGATTACAGGGCATGAGCCACCACGCCCAGCCCCAATTTTGATTTAATGTAATAATAGTGACTCTCATTGGCAACCAGCTCATTTTCATACTTCTCTAGTGTATTTTTTTTAGAAGCAACCATGCTTACTTATTTTATTTAACCACCAGTTATGAATTGGTTTTCCATTGGAATGAAGTCTTTTTGAATAGTAAATGCTTGTTTGCAAGTCATCTTATTGAGGTGGAGTCTCACTCTGTCACCCAGGCTGGAGTGCAGTGGCGCAATCTCGGCTCACCGCAACTTCTGCCTGCCAGGTTCAAGTGATTCTCCTGCCTTAGCCTCCCAAGTAGCTGGGATTACAGGTGCCTGCCACTGCGCCCAGCTAATTTTTGTATTTCTAGTAGAGACGGTGTTTCACCATGTTGGCTAGGCTGATCTTGAACTCCTGACCTCAAGTGATCTGCCCACCTCGGCCTCCCAAAGTGCTGGGATTACAGGCATGAGCCACTGTGCCCAGCCTAACACCTATATATTCTGATTATAAATGTTCTGAGAGAAGTTGTTAAAAAAATAAAGAAAACATTATTATAGGCAGTACAACTTTTATGAGTACCTGTTGAGTAATTTATGCTAAACTTTTGTTTTATGTTTCTGCCAGTCAGCAAATCACATGAACAGTTCCCTGTTGTCTTTGTATCGAAAAGGAAATCCTGATTCTGTTTCAAATACTCCTGAGATGGAGCAAAGAGAAACCACCTCTTCAACACCACGGATAAGTTCCAAAACAGGCTCCGTTCCCTTGAAGACCCCTGCCAAAGATTCTGAGGGAGGATGGTTTATTGACAAAACCCCAAGTGGAAAGAAGGACAGTGTTTTCTTGGACCTATCAGATGAGAAAAGTGATCCTAAGAAGTCAATAACTGAGATACAGGTATTTTTGTAATGAAATTTTAGCCCCATATCATCGAAGTACATTTTGACCTTTTAATTGAATACAGTATCAAGCAGATACTTGTGCTTTGTGGAAAATATAAGAACTTTGAAATATATGGAGAATTTGATCACATCGCACTACTTGCCATTCTTTCTATCCTAGTCTAAGCCTTTTCTTGTTCTTGACTTAATTATTGAAACAGCCTTCCAGCTGGAGTCTGTGTCCTTTCTTGTTCCCCTAGTTTATTCTTCACACTGAGATAGCTTTTTTTTTTTTTTGAGACTGGATCTGGCTCTGTCACCAAGACTGGAGTGCAGTGATGTGATCTTGGCTTACTGTAACCTCTGCCTTCTGGGCTCAAGCCGTCCGCGACCTCAGCCTCCTATGTAACTAGGACTACCGGCGTGCACCACCACACCTAGCTCACTTTTATATCTTTTCTAGAGATGGAGTTTTGCTGTGTTGCCCAGGCTGGTCTTGAACTCTTGGGGTCAAATGATCCACCCGCCTCAGACTCCCAAAGTTCTGGGATTATAGGCATGAGCCATCACATATTATCATTCTTTATTTAAAACCCTCCAGTGGCTTCATTCAGTCTCAAATCCAAAGGCCTGTGACAGCCACTAAAGTCCTTCATGATTTGGCTGCCGGGCTTTCTCTTCAGTTTCGTCTCCTACCACCCTGTTAGGTATGTGAATCTATTTCCTCAGCTGTAAATTTTACAAACTCTTAAGTACAAATCAAGTGTTTCCCGTGAAAATTTAGTGTCCAAATTGAGATGTGCTATTAACTTAAAGTGTACATTAGACTTTGAAGACTTACTAAAAAATATAGAATGTAAAACATCTCATTAACAATTTTTTATATTGACTGTTGAGATGATAATATTTTGGATATACTGGGTTAAGTAAAATAGATTATTAAATGAATTTCGTATGTGGCTCACATATTCCTCATGGACAATGATGCTTCAACTGGTTTCTAAGAACCAAGCCCTTTGATTTGGCAGAACCTTTCCCCTTTTGATTTATTAATAGGCCTGTCCAAATCTCTTTGCTTTAATTATCCGTGTCATCCATCTATAGAGAACATTGTTATGGTGGGCAAGAACTCGAGTCTTAATGCTGAATTACTTTTTTTGGTTTGAGACGTGGTCTGCCTTGTCACCCAGGCTGACATGGTACAGTGGCATGATCACAACTCACTGTAACCTCCACCTCCTGGGCATAAGCCATCCTCTCACCTCAGCCTTCCAAGTAGCTGGGACTACAGGTGCCCACCACCACACCTGGCTAAGTTTTGTATTTTTTGTAGAGATGGGGTTTGGCCATGTTGCTCAGGCTGGTCTTGAACTTCTGAGCTCAAGTGATCCACCCACCTCAGCCTGAATTATACTTTAAAAAAAATTTTTTTGGCTGGGCGTGGTGGCTCACACCTGTAATCCCAGCACTTTGGAAAGCCGAGGCGGGCGGATCACAAGGTCAGGAGATTGAGACTATCTTGGCTAACATGGTGAAACCCCATCTCTACTAAAAATACAAAAAGTATTAGGAGGCTGAGGCAGGAGAATGGCGTAAACCCGAGAGGCGGAGCTTGCAGTGAGCTGAGTTCGTGCCACTGCACTCCAGCCTGGGCGACAGAACGAGACCCCATCTCAAAAAAATAAAAATTATTTTTTAAGAGTTGGAATATTGCTGCATTGCCCAGGCTGAAGTGCAGTCACTTTTCGCAGGCATGATCACAGAACATTATAGCCTCAAAACCCTGAACTCAAGTGGTCCTTTTGCCTCTCAAGTAGCTGGGGCTACAGGTGTGTCCCAGTGTGCTTGGCTGAATTTGTTATGACTGTCATAGCAGCTCTATAGTCATATTTAATTTAGTGAATCATCAGCTGTCAGATGAAGACAACTATGTAGAAGACTCAGTGAGAAATAAAAGGCAAATATCAGTGTCCTTAATCAAGGAGCTCACAATTCAGAGAGAAAGACAGAGATAAGTAAATCACTCATACAAGGCAGATTATGCTAACTGATAATAGTTGCAAATGCAGTGTCCTGGGAATGTGAAGACGAGGTTAAATCTAACTGAAAGAGGGCCTTGCAGTGTGTCTCACGCCTATAATCCCAGCACTTTGGGAGGCTGAGATGGGCAGATCACCTGAGGTCAGGAGTTCGATACCAGCCTGGCCAACATGGCGAAACCCCATCTCTACTAATAATATAAAAATTAACTAGGCGTGGTGGTGGGCATTTGTAGTGCCAGCTACTTTTGAGAGGCTGAGGCAGGAGAAACGTTTGAATCTAGGAGGCAGAGGTTGCAGTGAGCTGAGATCATGCCGTTGCACTCTAGCCTGGGTGACAAGAGCGAAACTCTGTCTCAAAAAACAAAACAAAAGAAAACAAAAACCTCTAACTGAAAAAATCTGGAAAAGAAGTGGCATTCAAATGTTAAGATTTCTTTTTTCTTTTTTTTTCCCCCATATGGAATGCTTCACAAATTTCAATGTCATCCTTGCACAGCAACCATGCTAATCTTCTTTGTATCATTCCAATTTTAGTGTATGTGCTGCCAAGGCCAGCACCAAATGTTAAGTTTTAAATTGAGCTTTAAGGGCATGAGGAGAAGGACATTCCCAATAGACAGCATCTTTGAGCAAAGAGATTGGGAATAGTTAATAGAGGTGAAAGTGCTAGGGCAGGAATTAATTTTCTTTACAATGCCCCTCTTTAAAAAATAAAACAATTATTGGCATAGAATTTGAAGCATGGCATATTTAAATTTATTTTCTTTTCAGGGTTCAAAAGATTCTTCCCTTTTGGAGAGTGATATGAAACGGAAAGGTAGGCTAAAGAATAAAGGAAGCAAAAGGAAGAAAGAAGATCTTCAGGAAGTAGATGGAGAAATTGAAGCTGTCCTGCAAAAGAAAGGTAAGGTGTGAGTCTTGTTGGTGGCAGTGGTCGTGTTTGCTGTGAGAGAAACATCATTCTGTTCCAAGCTGTTTTGCTTGAGGGACCTTCTATGTGCAGAAATGTTTATCAGAAAATGTTTCTATATTTAATGGACCTTTGTTTACTTAAAGACTATTCATTATGAGTTACTACTGAACCATTAATCTTTTCATCTCCTCATTTTTGTTTACCAGCTAAAGCCAGGGGGTTAGAATTCCAGATCTCCAACGTGAAGTTTGAAGATGTGGGAGGCAATGATATGACGTTAAAAGTTAGTGCAAATTCTGAAATTTATCTCAAATGGATATATTACTAATCAGTTATGAAAAAAAAGCCTACCTCTTTGTTTCTAATATGATCTGAGTATAGAAAAGGAAAAGGAAACCGGGAAGGTTGAGAAGGGCAAACCTGACCTGTACCCTTTAGGGCGTTGCAGGAGAAAAGATGCATACTATTTTGAACTTTTCTGTTATTTTGATTATAGTATATATATATATAAAGATCCATGTTGTTTAAAGATCCATGCTTCATAAGTAATATTGTCTTAATAGTACTAATAGTAATGGTAACTGTATTTATTTTTTATTTTATTTTTTGTTTTTGTTTTTGTTTTGCTTTTTCTTTTTTTTTTTTTTTTTCTTTTTTTGGGAGGAGTATAGCTCTGTCACCAGGCTGGAGTGGAGTGGCATGATCTCAGCTCACTGCAACCTCCGCCTTCCAGGTTCAGGCATTTCTCCTGCGTCAGCCTCCTGAGTAGCTGGGATTACAGGCACGTGCCGCCATGCCCAGCTAATTTTTGTATTTTTAGTAGAGACAGGGCTTCACCATGTTAGCCAGGATGGTGTCAATCTCCTGACTTCGTGATCTGCCCACCTCCACCTCCTAAAGTGCTGGGATTACAGGCATGAGCCACCACGCCCGGCCATAATGGTAACTTTATTTTTAATGCCTATTCTTTTTCATCGGCCATGCTCTTTAACTTTGCATTACATCCTCAAGGTACATAATGTTACAGTTTAGGAGATAGCTCCTCAGAGAGGTTGCTGAAATCACACAGTAGGTACCAGAGCCAGGATTGAAACTCTGATCTAAGTCTAAATTGTATATTCTACCTATCTGTTCCATTTTGCTGCTCCGAAAAATAGGACATTTCATTCTACTTTGATTCTTCTGTCTTGAAAGACGTCTTTGTGCTTATCCTCTGCTAGGAGATCTGCAAGATGCTCATACACATGCGTCACCCGGAGGTGTACCACCACCTGGGCATCGTGCCCCCTCGTGGAGTTCTCCTTCATGGGCCACCAGGCTGTGGGAAGACTTTACTTGCACATGCAATTGCTGGGGTGAGGCTTGCTGACACTTGTTTGCTTTTGCTGTTTTTGTTGTTATTATTTGTTTTTGTTTTTTCTCTTTGGTCAGCATAAACCAGACATGGCATTTTTCAGGAAGAGAACATAGTCATTGGAACTGATCCCTTTGTTATCACGCTGATATTATTTGTGGTATTTATTCATTTAGTTTATTGTTTCTCAGAGCAACTTGAGGGTTTGTTTGTTTTTTTTAATGTATGTAATTGTTTATATGGCAAGAGTTAGGTAGAAAGTAAAATAATACAGTTCTTTTTTTTTTTTTGGAGACGGACTCTCACTCTGTTGCCCAGGCTGGAATGCAGTGGCGTGATCTTGGCTCGCTGCAACCTCCGCCTCCCAGGTTCAAGCAATTCTCCTGTCTCAGCCTCCCCAGTAGCTGGGACTACAGGCACATGCCGCCACGCCCGGCTAATTTATTACATTTTACTAGAGACAGGGTTTCACCCTGTTGCCCAGACTGGTCTCGAACTCCTGAGCTCAGGCAATCCGCTCATCTCAGCCTCCCAAAGTGCTAGGATTACAGGTGTGAGCCACCGCGCCCAGCCATAATAATACAGTTTTAAACAAACCTTTTTATTAACACATAGCTTACATTTTAGTTACTTTGCTTTCCCTTTAACCCAATAGTTACTTTATTTTACTTATTTTTTTGAGACAGAGTTTCACTGTCGCCCAGGCTGGAGTGCAATGGTGCAGTCATGACTCACTACAGCCTCAACCTCCCAGGCTCAAGTTGTCCTCCCACCTCAGCCTCCCAAGTAACTGAAACCACAGACACACACCACCACGCCCAGCTAATGTTTTTGTTTTTTTATAGAGACGGAATCCCACTATGTTGCCCAGGCTGGTCTTAAACTCCTGGCCTCAAGCAGTCCTCCTGTCTCAGTCTTCCAAAGTGCTGGGATTACAGGCATGGGCCACAGCACCTGCCCTCCCAGTGGTTCTTAGGAGCAGTAAAATAAGAAAATTAGGGTTATATTATTTTTCATAGAGCTAAATTTATTCAAAATTTCTATTTAGAGTCATGTTCTTATACTTTTTAGTTTTAAAATAATTCTTTCTAAAATGGTAATAATAGACACTTACTTTGTGAAATTAAAAGTTAGCAATCTTATTTTAACCCTCTCAGATTTTTCAGAAACTGTAGGGGGCAGTAATGTAAAATATCCGAGTAACTTCAATTAGAAAAATAGCATGCTTGCCGGGCGCAGTGGCGCATGCCTGTAATCCCAGCACTTTGGGAGGCTGAGGCATGTGGATCATCTGAGGTCGGGAGTTTGAGACCAGTCTGACCAACATGGAGAAACCCCATCTCTACTAAAAATACAAAATTAGCCTGTAATCCCAGCTACTCATAGACAAAGGCAGGAGGATCGCTTGAACCAGGGAGGCGGAGGTTGCGGTGAGCCAGCACTCCAGCCTGGGCAACAAGAGTGAGACTCCATCTCAAAAAAAAAAGAAAAAGAAAAATAGCATATTATACCAAGCACTAATACAATAATGTTCTGTAAAAGAAAATCATTTGTAAAGGGGGACTTGATTGGTTTGCTTCATTTTTGTTGAATAATTCCATTACATGACTACTGCATGCCAGACTTTGGAATATAGTGTTAAGTACCACAATCCTAGTTCTAATATGAGAGAGACATTAAACAGTCATTCATATAAATAAATGCTGTACGTAATAACAACTATAATAAGTGGAAGACAAGAAGTGCAAAATGCTATGTGGTATGTTGGGATTCCCAAATTAGAGTTGGGTTCAAGGAAGGTATGGTTGAGGAAGTGAAATTTTAAGATAAGCACAAGAATGAGAGAACAGTAGTATCTCTTCTCTCTCTCTCTCTTTTTTTTTTTTCCTTGAGACAGATTTTCACTCTGTTGCCCAGGCTGAGTGCAGTGGCATGATCACAGCTCATTGCAGCCTTGACTTCTCAGGCTCAAGTGATCCTCCTGCCTCAGCCTCGCAGGTAACTGGGACTGCAGGCATGCATCAGCATGCCTGGCTAATTTATTATTTTTTGTAGAGGTGGGGTCTCACTGTGTTGCCCAGGCTGGTCTCAAACTCCTCTCAATGTGCTGGGATTACAGGCGTGGGCCTCCACACCTGGCCTCTTCTTAAAAGAGTCTCACTCCTCTGACTAGCAACTGGCTACTCTCCGGGTTAGGATTTGGAGAAATACTGGCAGGATGTGTGGGAAACATCTGTGTCACAACCCTTGTATTATCTCCTCAGCAGATGGGTAGGAATTGTTTTGATAGGCCAGGAATGGTCACTCCTGTAACCCCAGCACTTCGGGAGGCTGAAGTGGGAGGATTGCTTGAGGCTAGGAGTTTGAGACCAGCCTGGGCAACATAGTGAGACACAGTCTCTCAAAAAAAAAAAACAACCAAGAATTGCTTTGGGTCAGCCATAAGTGGGGGTAACATATCTCTTGAGAGTCAAGACCCTTTATTCAGAAAAGAGAACATAATTTTATAGTGACATGTATAAAATAAAAACAAGTTAAATGTGTTTGCATTAAACCATTGATTTTTTTTTTTTTTTTTTTTTTTTGAGATGGAGTTTTGCTCTTGTTGCCCAGGCTGGAGTGCAATGGCGCGATCTTGGCTTACCGCAACCTCTGCCTCCCGGGTTCAAGTAATTCTCCTGCCTCAGGCTTCCCGAGTAGCTGGGATTACAGGCATGCGCCACCATGCCTGGCTAATTTTTGTATTTTTAGTATTAAGATGTGGTTTCTCCATGTTGGTCAGGCTGGTCTCGAACTCCCGACCTCAGGTGATCCGCCCATCTCGCCTCCCAAAGTAGTGGGATTATAGGCCTGAGCCACTGTGCCCAGCCAGAACCATTGATTTTCAAATAGTGTTTTTCACTGAGCCAACATAAAAAGATGAAGTTCCTCAGGAAACTAGCCATTTCAAAAATTTGAGGGGACTGGATAAAGAAAAAGTAGAGCCATTAAAATTTGAATATTTGGTTATTCTTTTATGTGTCTGCATAGGAACTTGACCTGCCAATTTTGAAAGTGGCTGCTCCAGAGATTGTGTCTGGAGTATCCGGAGAGTCTGAGCAGAAGCTGAGAGAACTATTTGAGCAAGCTGTGGTGAGTCAGTTAATGACTAATGCCAGGTGGTCAGACGCTACCAGTTTATATTACAGATCCTGCTTTTTCTGATGCTAGTATTTGTTAAGCCACTCACTGACCATTCTTTTATTAATATAAACATGGTAATTTGCTATGCATGATGGCTAAATATTTAAAGTAGATTTAGTGATACCCACTGTTGGATAAATAACCCTTTTCATTTGAAATCAAACATAAATATAATTGGTGAGAAATTCTGGGCTGTCATACTGTAGTCATATGTTGAAAATATATTATCCTTATGATATTTTCCACTCACTTTTACTTTCCTCAACTTAAGTTTGGCCAAAAAAAAAATTTGTAAGCAATGTAAAAATTGTTATTTAGGATATTAAACCATAAAAATGCCAGAGTAAGTTCTGTCATTCCTTACTAGTAAACTAGGGCAATAGTAATATCCAAATCTCATGTAGCTATTGAGAGTATTAAATGAGAGAATTCTTATAAAACCTTTGATATGGTGCCTTGCACACAGCACAAGCCCTGTAAATATTAGCTGTAATATTATTCACACTTGAACAAATATCACTGTGTTTAAAATTTAAAAGTGGGGAAAAGTTTAATTTTATGTCATTATTAGCACTGACAATATATAGTAGCTGATGAATATCCAATACAACTGCTAGAAGCCTGTGTGAAATTAGAAGAGAAATTATATTTAAGCAGTAATTGAGAAAAAAAAAACATTTTAAATAACAAGAATGGGTAGGCCATCTACTTAGTTATTGTGTGGGCTGACATTGAAAAAGCTGTGGGCAGCACTTGGAGGATAAAGAGAAAAAGGGTGGAAAGGGCAGGGTACAGAGCAAAGCTGAACTTTTTCAGGTGCTACCTGTTTCCCAAAACGCAGTGGATTCCATTGTTAAATTGGCATGCATAGCCAGAGACAAGTAGTAAATTTTGTGTGTATGGTAAACACGATGAATAAGGATAAAAGACAAATGGCATCTTTAGGTTGTTAGTTCTGTGTTTAAACCTCTCACTAAACCAGTACTGAGCCAGTACGGTACCTTACGGTAGATGCTCAGTAAATATGTGGCCTAGCACCCTGCTTTTCCTGGTCCCCTCTTCCCTAATGAGAATGAGTACAGTAAAGCATGTGGATCAGAGAACAAAAAGGTGAAATCCAATCAAGTGATACTTGGTTGAAAACTATGCTTTCTTTAGGCCACATTCTGATGACCATCATTTATTCTTTTTTTTTCCCCCATTCAACTTTCCAGGTCACTGACAAGTACTGATGTGCTTGTTTTCTGATGCTTTTGGCCCCTGTAATTTTACTCCTTTGTAACTGGGTAATATATCTAGCAGTCATAGGCATCTTTTGCAAACATTGTCATAAGGATGATTAGGGAAGACAGTCAGCTAGTGATAGGCTAAATATCTTTCCCTTTAAGATGTGGTGGTTCCCATGGTTTTGAGATGCCTTAAGCGATGCTGACAGCCTTACTTAGCATAATCACTGTCACTCCTAACCATTGAGTAACTGAGTAAAATGATTTAGATTGTACATCTAGATAATTTTCTTCAATTTTTTTCATTTTAACTGATCCTTCTCTCTTTTTTGTGGTAAAATATATATAACAGAATTTACCATTTTAAACATTTTTTTAAGTTTTTGTAAATTATTTTATTTCTTCCATGATGATTTAGAGGGACTGTCTTCAAACCAGTACGGATACTTCATAAATAATACCTGGCTGTTTTCTAACCAGTTGAGTAATTTGTTGCACAATAAGCCACCTCACATCTTTCAGCAAGAAATACACTAAATTTTAATAGTAAGGACATTACACAACGAATTAGGACAACAATTTAAATTTGCTTTAAGTATTTCTTTGGGGGAGAGGACACTGCACTTCTACTCAATGAAGAGAAACATTTTTACAGTCCAGAGGTCTTTTATTTTTTAACACCTATTATGCCATGAATTCACAGGGAAGAGGTTCCAGCAGCTCAGGCTCCTTCCTATTGATTCTCAGAGTGCACTTCTCTGGGTGGAGCACGCTGATGCTTTCCCTTTTGTTTCTTTTTTCTGATCATTTTCCTCCACACATTTCAGAAAGCTATCTCGGCTCTTAGAGAGAGTGCTTAATGTGCTCAGTATGCACATTGATTCTCATACATTGATTATTTTCTTGGCAAGAATCTTGCCCTTAACTTGCTTCTTTACAACAATGCCAGCAGCATGCTGGATAACGTTATAAACTCTTCCAGTTTTGCATTGGTAACACTTGTGGGACATTCCTTTTTGAACAGTACCCATTCCCTTGATGTCTACAGTATCACATTTCTTCCTTTTCTTTTCCTTTTCCTTTTCTTTCTGACAGAGTCTTGTTCTGTCGCCCAGGCTGGAGTGCAGTGGCACAGTCTCGGCTCACTGCAATCTCCGCTTCCTGGGTTCAAGCAATTCTCTTGCCTCAGCCTCCCAAGTAGCTGGGATTACAGGCATGCACTACCCACCAGCTAATTTTTTTTTTTTTTTTTTTTTTTTGAGATGGAGTCTCTCTCTGTTGCCCAGGCTGGAGTGCAGTGGCGTGATCTCAGCTCACTGTAACCTCCGCCTTCCGGGCTCAAATAATTCTCCTGCCTCCTCCTCCCGAGTAGCTGGGATTACAGACATGCACCACCACGCCCGGCTAATTTTTGTATGTTTAGTAGAGATGGGGTTTCACCATGTTGGCCAGGCTGGTCTTGAACTCCTGACCTCTGGTAATCTATACACCTTGGCCTCCCAAAGTGCTGGGATTACAGGAGTGAGCCATGGCGCCCAGCCTACAATATCACATTTCTTATAGATTTGCATATATATAGCCAAAGGAACAGCTCCATGTTTTCTGAAAGGCTTAGAGAACAACTATCAGGTGCCTCTCCTCTTTCCCTTTGTGTTCATCATTTTGGTTAATGACTGGCAGATGGCAGTTCCAACTGAAAAGGCCATTTTAAACATTTTTAAGTGTACAATTCTGTGGCATTAAGTACATTCATATTGTTGTGTAATCATTACCCACATCCATTTCCAGAACGTCTTCATGTTCCCACACAGTAACTCCCCATTCCTCTCTCCCACCAGTCCCTGGCCACCACCACCATTCTACTTTTTGTCTCAATGAATTTGACTACTCTCGGTAGCTGATCCTTACCTCTTAACTTATTCTTTCTGAACCGTATCTAGTTTATTTCTTAAAAACAAAACAAAACAAAAAACTGGAGGTGATCTTTACACTGATGTATTAGAACTTTACCATCCTTCCTTATTCAGTGTAGCCTTTAAAATAAGCTTCTGTTACTTTTCAGTGTGGATGCTGGGAAAGTTCTGGAGATGGACAGTAGTGACATTTACACAACAGTCTGGAAATATTTAATGCCACTAAACTATATACCCAAAGTGGTTAGAATGGTAAATTTTATGTGTATTTTTCACAGATTTTTTTAAAAGCTTCTGGTGCTTCTCCAATTTCCTCTTATAGCAAATTATAGAGAAAGGCTTGGAGATTCTTATGTTGGTAAAAACCCTCATAAAGTTTCTAGTAAGCTTGGTTTTGCTAATTTAAAGTTTAGAAACTTGTTGTCTTAATTTTTTTTCTGTGCATATGCTTATCCAAAATCATTGTTTCTGTTTCATAGCATAGCAAATGTATCTAATTTACAAAAGAATTTCAATAGATTTATCACAAAACATGCATTGATGGAGAGACTGTAAATGTGCAGCCCTATCTGCGGTCCCTTACTGTGTACTTTTAATCATCTTGGTTCTCTTAAGTCAGATAAAAATCAGAAGTAATACATGTGAACTGCCTTTTTTAGGGTTATTCTTTTGGTAAATGATCCTTGACCTTTAAGATTTTTTTAAAACTGTTTATGCTTAACTGTGCTTCAGTATAGGGGATGTATTTATGGTTGTCTTTTTGTGATATTTTTATTTCTAGTCAAATGCACCATGTATCATTTTCATTGATGAAATTGATGCTATTACCCCCAAAAGAGAAGTTGCTTCAAAAGATATGGAACGAAGAATTGTAGCCCAACTCCTAACCTGCATGGATGGTTAGTTTAAAATAATAAATTCATTTTAAGAGAATAAATTTTTTTAATAGTGTAATTAATACATGAAGATATAAAATAATATTCAAATAATAAATATCAAATAGTGTAAAAAAAAAGTCATACTGGGCACAGTGGCTCATGCCTGTAATCCTAACACTTTGGGAGGCTAAGGTAGGAGGACTGCTTGAGCCTAGTAGTTTGAGGCCAGCCTGGGCAACATAGCAAGATGCTACCTCTAAAAATAAATAAAAAGAAATAGCACTTGTTTTGTGTACACAAGAAAATTTGAAGTATATATTTTATGTTCCTTGCATTACCAAGTTGCAGGTTGCTTCTTCTTCTGATTAGTGGATTGATTGATTGATGAGATAGAGTATTGCTCTGTCACCCAGGTTGGAATGCAGTGGCACAATCACAGCTCACTGTAGCCTTGACCTCCTGGGCTCAAGTGATCCTCCCATTTAAGCCTCCCAAGTAGCTGGGACCACAGGTGTGCACCACCATGCCTGGCTTTTTTTTTTTTTTTTTTTTTGAGACAGAGTCTCTCTCTGTTGCCCAGTCTTGAGTGCAGTGGCACGATCTCAACTCGCTGCAACCTCTGCCTCCTGGGTTCAAGCTATTAGCCTGCCTCAGCCTCCTGAGTAACTGGGATTACAGGTGCGTGCCACCACACCTGGCTGATTTTTGAGACGGGGTGTTGCCAAGTTGGCCAGGCTGGTCTTTTTGTGATATTTTTATTTCTAGTCAAATGAGGCAGGTTGATCACCGGCCTCAGCTTCCTAAAGTGCTGGGATTACAGGTGTGAGCCACTGTGCCTGGGATTTTTTTTTTTTTTAAAGACAGTCTCACTATGTTGCCCAGGCTGGTCTTGAACTCCTGGGCGTAGTCTTTCTGCTTCAGCCTCCCAAAGTGCCAGGATTCTGTTTCATTTTTATCTAAAATTTTCTTGTCATGTCTTTGAGGCCTGTATTCTGAGAAAAAGCTTTCATGGCTTCCTGCTGTCTAAAGAACACACTGTATAAATTTATACATGATTTCATGATTTCCTTATGATTTCATCTTATTACTTTCTTGTTACCTGTGAGGGAAAATAACCTCAGACTCCCTGCTATTCAATCCTGGTTCAGTTGAGAGAAATAATACTTAGGAAAGATAAGATTTAAGCCCTCAGTTTTGTCTGTTCCTAGAAATACATTCCTAGATTAAGCCCGAACAGCTGAAGACTATTTTATATTCCCCTGCTCGAATTAATTTTATCAGTCTATTCTGAGCCATACACTTCAGCATCCTCCCCAGCCTCCCTGTTGTCCTGCTCACCTTGCATGGATTTGCCATGCATGCTCGACCCTCTGTGCTTTCACTCATGCTCTTCTACATAGAATTCCACTAACCTATATATCTGCTTGTTAAAATTCTATTTACCCTTCAAGCCTTTTCTGAAGTGTTACTGCCTCCATGAACCCTCCCTTATTCCTCAGTTGGAATTCATGATGTCTTTTCTTGTATTACCATGGTGCTTTGTTTGTATCTGTTATTATACTTCACAAAATTTGTCTGATGCCATTTTTTTATTTACGCACTCGATGTTTCTCAATAGATTGTGAACTGCTGAGGACAGAGTTTGTATTGTATTTATCCTCCTCATACCTTTTACATATTTGACATTTAATAAATGTTGATTTTATATGTACGTCGCTGTCAAAATCTGTAATACTTTCTCTTTAACCATGAAATGATTTCTGTAACCATTGTTGCCCTCAATGTCAAGTGCTTTGTTCACCACTCTTTCTCTGTCTCTTACTAGATCTGAATAATGTGGCTGCTACAGCCCGGGTGCTAGTTATTGGAGCTACTAATCGACCAGACTCATTAGACCCTGCTTTGAGACGTGCAGGAAGGTTCGACCGAGAAATATGCCTAGGTATCCCAGGTGAAGCATCCAGAGAAAGGTATATTCTTATAGAATGAAGTTTGTATGCCACTAAGTCATCTTAACTGAATGGTTTGAAAGTAAGAGGTGAGAAATACCATGTAGCCTTTTCTTTCTCTCTCACTTTCTTTTTGTACCAATTAAGTTGATTTGGAAAAGGAGAAGCCCACATTAAGAAAATGATTTATGCTTGGGTGCAGTGGCTCAGGCCTGTAATCCCAACACTTTGGGAGACTGAGGCAGGAGGATCACTTGAGACCAGGAGTTTGAGCCTGGGCAACATAGTGCGACACTGTCTCTACAAAAAATCAAATTAGCTGTGCACATACCTGTAGTCCTAGCTAGTCAGGAGGCTGAAGCACAGGAGGATTGCTTGAGCCCAGGAGTTCGAGGCTGCAGTAAGTCATGATTGTGCCTCTGCACTCCAACCTGGGTGACAAAGGGAGGACCCACCTCTGTAAAAAACAGGGGAAGAAAACAATTTACTCATCGGTAGGATAATTGTTTTTCAGAAGTAGTAATGGACTTATGTGTCCCTACTCATTTGTCTGGTCTTACTAACAATGGCTTGCATTCTTTAGTTGGCTGACCAGATTAGTGGCAATGTCTGGAGCTATAGAATACAGCAGAGCCATTTGGTCCACATACAGGTTAAATCTGAGTACCATACTTTCACCTATTGCACTAACCTGTCTGAGACCACAGGTCCTGTTATCAGTAATGAGATGGCGGCCAGACAGTTGAAAGCTGTTTGCTGCAGCACCAGCCTTTCCTAGTAATTGAGCAAATGAATAATGTCCATAGAGCAAATAAACATCCACCAATAACCAGAAATATAACTTCATAAGCAAGACTATCTCAGGAAGCACTGTTGAGGTGGTAGAGTGGAAATCGAGGTAAGAAATGTTCTGAAATATTAGGCCAGGTGTGGTGGCTCACACCTATAATCCTAGCACTTTGGGAGGCTGAGGCGGATGGATCACCTGAGGTCAGGAGTTCGAGACCAGCCTGGCCGACATGGTGAAACCCCGTCTGTACTAAAAGTATACAAAAATTAGCCAGGCGTGGTGGTGCATGCCCGTAATCCCAGCTACTCAGGAGACTGAGGCAGGGGAATTGCCTGGGAGGTGGAGGTTGCAGTGAGCTGATGTCACGCCACTGCACTCCATCCAGCCTGGGTGACACAGCAAAACCCTGTCTCAAAAGGAAAAAAAAAGAGTATTTAATGAGGAAGGGGTGAACTGAAGATGAAGATCTTGGTGAGGTCCAGGAACAGTGTGGGAGTAATAGCACATATAAGCTCAGACATGTGAGACTGGGCAGAATGCCGCATGTGAGATTGTGATCTCAGACGGGCCAGATCCAGGTGATAATGAGGTCCAGGGTGTGAGTAAGTAAGTGAGGGAAAAGGCCAGACCTGGGCGGGATTGGGGTGCAGAGGCAATGAATAGATGCCCAAACTTTGAGTCAGCGAAGGAAAATTATTCCACCTCTGCCTCCTGTTATCCTTGGTCCTTGTCCAATGTTTTTAACATTTCCAAGCTTTAGTTTATTTATCTATAATGCAGTAATATTTATCTATAATGCAGTAATAATAGTAATAACTTTATCTGTAAAGTGATAATACTATAAATTAAGGACTTCCTGTGAGTATTGAATTAACACAACCTAGCACAATATCTGACACATAGAATTTTTTAAAATAAGGTAGCTATTGATATCTGTCTCTTTTATTATTTTTTTTATATAGAGAGAGAGGGTCTCACTATGTTGCTCAGGTTCATCTTGAACTCCTGCCCTCAAATGATCCTCCCAATATCATCCTGTACTTCAAAAGCATAAAATTATGGAAAAGTTTCAGCATACATAAAAGGAGACCCATATAACTGTTCCAGTTTCTACTGGTGTAAAACAGACCACACCAAAATTTAGTGTCTTACAACAGTACTCATTTTATTGTGTCTCACAGTTTCTGAGGATCAAGAATTTGGAAAGGCCTCAGCTAGATGGTTCTGCCTCATGGTCTCACGTGGCTGCAGTAGCTGGAGCTAGAACAGTGGTAGCTTTCCCCTCTTTTGGAGTTTCTATAGTATAATGACTAGAAATATCCACTTATTTTTAGGGATAGAGTACAACTATGAAAAGGATGTTATTATTTTCTGTTAGCCATTTTCATAACATCCAAAATGTTCTTAGTACAGATAGTCCCCAACTGACAGTGGTTTGGCTTATAGTTTTTCAACTTTACAAAGGGTTTATCATGATGTTTTTGACTTAGAATGGGTTTATCGGATGTAAACTCATGGTAAGTCGAAGAGTATTTTGTATTCTTATGCATAGTAGCAAATTGGATCTGTGTCTTTTGGAAATAGTTCTTTAGTGGAAAGTTTTCTTGATTCCCATTATTCAGAGTATCCAAGTGAAATTTTAAAAAATTTGTCAGTAATGTTTATCTGCTTCTATTCTGCTCACTTACATGATCCCATATGATTTTTCTATAATCTTTATTAGCTTGACATTTGAAAATATTAGTCTTCTTTACACATTTATTAATTTTAAAATATATTTGCTTGTCCAAGTTAGTTTATAATATCAAAATATGTAAATAAGAATTAACATTCATTGGTGCATGCCTATAATCCCAGCTACTTCAGAGGCTGAGGCAGGAGAATCACTCGAACCTGGGAGGCAGAGGTTGCCGTGAGCCGAGATTGCGCCATTGCACTCCAGCCTGGGCAACAAGAGCAAAACTCCGTCTCAGAAAGAAAAAAAAAAAAAAGAATTAACATTCATTGGTCACTAACTATGGATCAGCCACTGTTTTATGTGCTTTGCGTGTATTCATTTGTAGCAACCTCCCTCTGAATAAGTGCTACTGTAATATAGATTGAATAAATGAAGAAACTGAAGCACAAAGGTTAAGTAACTGGCCCAGATTACAAAGGATAACAAAGCTGGGATTCAAACTCTTGCAGTTTGGCTTCGGACTTTTTATCTTGAATATCTTTTTTTATTATTATTCGAGACAGAGTCTTGCTCTGTCATTCAGGCTGGAGTGCAGAGACACAATCTTGGCTCACTGCAACTTCCACCTCCCGGTTCTGTCGCCCAGGCTGGAGTGCAATGGCGTGATCTCGGCTCACTGCAAGCTCCGCCTCCCAGGTTCACACCATTCTTCTGCCTCCGCCTCCCGAATAGCTGGGACTACAGGCGCCCGCCACCACGCCTGGCTAATTTTTTGTATTTTTAGTAGAGACGGAGTTTCACTGTGTTAGTCAGGATGGTCTCCATATCCTGACCTCGTGATCCGCCCGCCTTGGCCTCCCAAAGTGCTGCGATTACAGGCGTGAGCCACTGCACCCGGCCACTCCCAGCTAATTTTTGTATGTTAAGTAGAGATGGGATTTTGCCATGTTGACCAGGCTAATCTCAAACTCTTGACCTCAAGTGATCTGCCTGCCTCAGCCTCCCAGAGTAATTGCAGGCGTGGGATTACAGGCGTGAGCCACTGCACCTGTTCTCATCTTGAATATCTTTACTGCTTTTAAGTTTTTATTTAGGTCTTATCAGAAATTGTTCAAGATATTCCTTTAACAACAATTATCTAGAAGTCCAGATTTTTATAGATACCATGTTGCCAGTTAGGTTGAACAAGATTTTTCACACGTGTAGTACAGGGGATGAACAATAAGTAAAGTTAAAGTTGGAGATTTAACTGTCCTCATATAAAATGGGAAGTATATGGCAAGATAATTTTCAATGATGAAGATAATTAATGGTTTGTGTGAATGTGGGGGCTTCTATTTCTGGTAGACATCCATTTAATCTACTCTAAAAGTACCCTCATAAGTTATTTATCTTATTTCCCCTGTAATGTTATAAATTCTTAAAGGCAAAATATTTTTTAAAAATTCTATGTATTCCTCACAGCATTTAGCATGGTTCCTAACAAAGCAGATATTTACCATAATCCTTTCTGGAATAAGATGGAACATGTAACTTAGCATTTGTTGAGTGAATGAACTATTTGATCTTATATAGTATCCATTTTGATACCTTTGGCAGATGTGAAGGACTTCGAATAAATATAGTTGGTGACTTGTTTTTACTATTAAATTGGGAATCAGAAATTTTTTCCCCTGTCTTTTCTACAGAATACTTCAGACGTTGTGCAGAAAACTGAGGCTTCCTCAAGCTTTTGATTTCTGTCACTTAGCACACCTAACTCCAGGCTTTGTTGGTGCTGATCTGATGGCACTGTGCCGAGAGGCAGCAATGTGTGCAGTCAACAGAGTGTTAATGAAGCTACAGGAACAGGAGAAGAAAGATCCTGAAATGGAAGATTTGCCATCTAAAGGAGTCCAGGAGGAAAGTCTGGGAACTGAATCCACTTCTGAAACACAGGTGCTTTCTCTAAAGGCACTTTAAATTGTCCTTTTAATGTTCTTTATGTTATTTTACATTGAAGCGAGGGTCAGTATAGTTGAGGTTTATTACTTTCTGTTTTATTGGCATTTAATCTATAGAATAATTATCATTTATACCCATAATGTGTATCATTTCAAAAATACGAGTTGTTTTATGTTTATTCTGAATAAATTCATTTTACAATAATGATTATGAGATTCTGGAATGGGGTTGGCAAACTGTGGCCTACCCACCCACCACCTGTTTTTGTAAATTAAAGTTATATTGGAACACAGCCATGTTCATTTGTATACATGTTGCCTCTTTCTGCTTTCGTACTTCACGGCAGAATTCACATAGGAGTCTGCAGCAGATACCATAGCCCACAAAGCCTACAGTGTTTACTGTCTAGACCTTTACAGAAAAAGGTTGTCAACCCCTATTTCAGCATTGGCATTTAATTATATCTCCTGATTAACTTTTGGTTAGGTAGATTACAGTGGTCTGTTGACACAACTGTATCCACGTCGGTAGCTGCAAACAGCTCTGGAGGACAGTCATATGAATAATAGGGGACATTTATCAATCTAAGATCAGTATTAAATTTTTTAGTTTTGTGAGTCATGAAAATTCAATATATATAGCATTTTATGTAGCATTTTATAGCTTGCACAGATGGCTTCTGTATATGTTATATAATTTGATCCCTGTAACCTTATGTAAATATCATTATTTTCCCCATTTTATAATCAAAGGCACTAAGCTTAAGAGGTTGTGATTTGCCCAAGCCCATACAGCCTCTACTTTATAGAGCAAGGGCTTAAATCCAGATCTTTTGTTCTCACATAATTTTATTTTTTTCTTAGACATTTGAAACTGCAATTACTTCTGTAAAAAATAACAAACTCATTTGTTTTATAATATTGCATATAAATAAATATTTTCTAAATTGAATTAATCAGTTACCTATTTTTTAGACTTATCCTTTCATCTTCACAAAGCAAGAAATCTGCCTTTTAAGATTTGATAGTAATAGGAAAATTGCCTTCCCCCTACTTAGTTGATAAATCGTTAAGGAACCATATTAATGAATTATACTACCTCCAGCGTAACTTTTTAAAATTTCAGCAGGATTCAGCTGTTTCTTGAATATTCATAAATGAAACATGGGAAATATCATGGTTGCTGAAATGAATATTTGCCAACTGCTTATATTTGCTATACCTAGCCCTAGTATATAGAAATCATTCTTATATATTTAATTATAATTGGTGTATCTTTACTTGACCAGAACATATGATCCTTTAGAATAAAATGAGCTTGTCTCATGTCAGAGAGAAAATTATTAAAATACATAGAAGTTCAGGATAGCTTACGGAAATACTACAGTAATAATTCTTATAAGTAGAAAATGTAACTTTTCTATAGCTGTTGTGGTGTTTTTTTATCTTCCCCTCAATTGTTCCCTTCAAGGATGAATTACAAAGGCTGCTGGGGTTGCTAAGAGACCAAGATCCCCTCTCAGAGGAGCAGATGCAAGGCCTGTGCATTGAACTGAATGATTTCATTGTTGCTCTACCCTCAGTCCAACCCTCTGCCAAAAGGGAAGGCTTTGTCACTGTCCCTAACGTGACATGGGCAGATATTGGTGCCCTGGAAGACATTAGAGAGGAGCTCACCATGGCAATATTGGTAGGTATATCAGCTGCCAAATATTATTGGCATGTCATGGATTAAGGATCAGAGATAAAGCTCCATGCATGCGTACTAGGTTCTGTGGCTAAACTGACTTAATCACTGTGTCTAAATTGACTTGAATGTAGCACTTCTTTCAAGTGCTAAGCCCCCAACAATGGTTTTTCTTTTGTTTGAGATCTGATTTATTTGTTTATTTTTTTAATTGATATAACACAGTTGTAAATATTTTGGGGGTACATGTGATATTTTGATCCATGTATTAAATGTGTAATGATGAAGTCAGAGTAATTGGGATATTCATCACCTCTAATGTTTATGTTTTGTGTTGGGAACGTTATACTTTTTTTCTTCTAGCTGTTTTGAAATATACTTTTTTCTTCTAGCTATTTTGAAATATACTTTTTTTCTTCTAGCTATTTTGAAATGTAATTTCCCTACTGGGCTATCAAATACCAGAACTTGTTACTCCTATCTATATTTTTTTACCCGTTAACCAACTTCTCTTCGTCATACTCCTCTCCGCCTTGCCTTTCCAGCCTCTGGTAACCATCAGTTTGCTCTCCATTTCCATGAGATCCACTTTATTAGCGCCCACTATGAGTGAGAATGTGCAATATTTGCCTTTCTGTGCCTGGTTTATTTTACTGACATAATGATCTCTAGTTCCATCCATGTTGCTGCAAATGACAGGATTTCCTTCATTTTTGTGGCTGAATAATACTCCACTGAGACCTATTTTGTGCTGATCCTTTTGGTTGTGCTTCATTTCTATAGCAGTGAGTTTAAACAAGCACAAAAACCTTCAGGTTTCATTCAGTCAAGACCAAATCGTTTGACAAAGACTTTCTGAACCTGATTTTATGGGTCAAGGCAATTTTAATGCACGTAAAACTTCGGATTAATTTTTATTTACTTTACTTTTCTACTCATCGTTCCGTGATTCATTAATTGAAATATGATCGATTTAGAGGTATGTACTACTGAAAGAGAAAATACACTGGAATTATAGTCAACAGGTATCTCTGACTTTTAACTATGCAAAAGTTACTGCTGCGTCTGATTTCTTAGAGGAGACCATTGTCTAAACATTTTATAACCTAGATATTTAAATGGTTTTCTAAAAAATATTTGTCAAAATATTCTATTGTTATGTCTAAAATGTTCTTAGATGTTACGTTCAAGTATACATTCCTCAAGCGCGGGGACTTTTCTCTTTATCACCACAGGGCATGAACAGGTAAACAGGTACTGTTCATATCTTTAGGCCTCACAGTCATGTTGAAATTAAGCCTGAGAGGCCGGGCACAGTGGCTCCTGTCTGTAATCCCAGCACTTTGGAAGGCCGAGGCAGGTGGATCACCTGAGGTCAGGAGTTCGAGACCAGCCTGGCCAACATGGTGAAACCCCAACTCTACTAAAAATGCAAAAATTGGCCGGGCGCGGTGGCTCAATCCTGTAATCCCCGTACTTTGGGAGGCCGAGACGGGTGGATCACGAGGTCAGGAGATCGAGACCATCCTGGCTAACACGGTGAAACCCCGTCTCTACTAAAAAAATACAAAAAAACCTAGCTGGGCGAGGTGGCAGGCGCCTGTAGTTCCAGCTACTCGGGAGGCTGAGACAGGAGAATGGCGGGAACCCGGGAGGCGGAGCTTGCAGTGAGCTGAGATCCGGTCACTGCACTCCAGCCTGGGCGACAGAGCAAGACTCCGTCTCAAAAAAATAAAATAAAATAAAAAATACAAAAATTAGCCAGGCGTGGTGGCATGTGCCTGTAGTCCCAGCTACTCACAAGGCTAAGGTAGGAGGATCGCTTGAACCCAGGAGGCAGAAGTTGCAGTGAGCCAAAGTAATGCCACTGCACTCTATCCTGGGTGATAGAGGCATGCTCAAAAAATTAAAAAATAAAAAATCATAAAATATATATCTGAAGATAATTTGAACCTGCAGTATAAAATAGGTATGTAATGGATCACCGTTGGTATCATTCTTTCCAGGCACCAGTACGCAACCCAGACCAGTTCAAAGCTCTTGGATTGGTGACTCCAGCTGGGGTCCTCCTTGCTGGTCCGCCTGGCTGTGGGAAGACTCTGCTGGCAAAGGTATATATGTTCAATTGCATGTAATTGATTTGTTACTATCAGATATGAATTTAACTTTAAATATTACAGTTAGGTAAGTCTTATGCATAATTTTTATCAGAAGTTTATTTTAGCAAAACTGACAACTTCATGAAAATTTCCTACTTTTTTAAATTACAAAGGCACATGATTAAAAAATGTTTATATCAACCATAATCCTATCAATTTTAACACACAATTATATATTTTCTGTGTATTATATTTTAGCTTTTTAGTGAGTATTATTCCATAGTTTAAGTTTTTACTTGACTTGGTTTCCTGCTTTGGTATTGTTATTGTTTATAACTTAAATATTTTCCTTTATATTTCTTGTAATTATTTTCTAAAATTGTTTTTTCATAATAGAAAATAAAAATAAGCAAAAAGGAAAAGCATTGTGTGTAATTCACTACTATGTACTACTATTATTTCATTTCATTGTCAATCCTTCAGATATTTTTCTATGCATACATATCAAAATAATATCTAACTTTTACATTTTTACATGCATGTTTACAAACATAAGCTTTTTTTTTTCCCCTTTTTGAGACAGAGTCTCATTCTGTTGCCCAGGCTGGAGTGCAGTGGTGTGATCTTGGCTCACTGCAACCTCCGCCTCCCGCGTTCAATCAGTGATCTTGCCTCAGCCTCCCGAGTAGCTAGGATTACAGGCACACGCCACCACGCCTGGCTAATTTTTGTATTTTTAGTAGAGATGGGGTTTCACTATGTTGGTCAGGCTGGTCTCAAACTTCTGACCTCGTGACCTGCCTGCCTCAGCCTCCCAAAGTGCTGGGATTACAGGCATGAGCCACTACACCCAGCCACAGATATAAGCTTTTTTAAACATATTTTTCTCACTTAGTTATATTTCCTGAGCATCGTCACATGTCAGTATATATTGATACACATCAATATTTTTAATGCCTGCATAATATTCTACCATAAAGATACATGTTCTATAATTTATGGAAATGATCCCATATTGGAACAACACTACTTTAAATGGTCTTGCACTTATATGTTTGTAGCTTGACTAATAATTATATTAGAATGCATATCTAAGTAATTTTCCAGTCAAAGGAATGTATGTTTTTAAAGCTTTTGAGCCATATTATTAAAATGCCTTCCTAAAGGTTTTCACCAGTTTTTACCTTTGTATCAATAGGATATGAGTATCAATTTTCCCACACCTTAAACTAGTGATGGCCATGAACATTGCTTTTAATAGTGGACAATTTAATAGGTAAAAATGCTATCTTGCAGTTTAAGTCGCATTTTAAAAATTACTAGTGTTTTTTTGGCCAGGCGTGGTAGCTCATGCCTATAACCCCAGCACTTTGGGAGGCCGAGGCAGGTGGATCACTTGAGGCCAGGATTTTGAGACCAGCGTGGGCAACATGGTAAAACCCTGTCTCTACTAAAGTAAATTACAAAATTAGCCAGGTGCAGTGCTGCTCAGTGCTGTAATCCCAGCTACTGGGGAGGCTGAGGCACAAGAATTGCCTGACGCAAGGAGGCAGAGGCTGCAGTGAGCCAAGATCACACCACTGCATGCCAGCCTAGGCAACAGAGTGAGACTGTCTCAAAAAAGAAAAAAAAAAAAAAAAAAAACTAATTTTTTTTTTTTAATTTAAATATGTTTATTGGCTATTTTTCTTTGTGAATTGTCTATTCATATCCTTTCCTGTTTTTCTAATGGCATACATGTGATTTTCTTTCTTATTTATAATCATTTCATATATTAAGATTTGTTATTTATAAATGTTGATCAGTTTATCTTGACTGTAATCATGTTTGACACCTTGAGCTTTTTTGGTTTTATTTTTATGTGGGCAAATTTCTGTCTTTTTGTGCTTTTTTTTTCCCTTTGGACTGATGCTTATTAGAACTGTCTTCCGTATGTGTAAAGTATGTTATCCATCATTTTCAGTGTCTATGTAATATTACATCCGTAACTAACCCTTATCAACTTCTAAAAATATTTTGAATTACTTGTAAGAAATTGAAATAATAACATTTTTAATAAGTACCACAGCAACCGAATTATAACTCCTCAGTAAATATCAAATGTCCATAGTGCTGTGTGTAAAACTTACGTTTATTTATACTACTAATTTTCCTTGCTTAATGTGTTCAGTACTCTTACAAGGCATTGCTTTCAGGGAGCTGGGTATGGAGTTAGAAGAGAACGACACAGTCATTGATCTACATTTTTTTCACAATAGTTTTGGAAAAATATAGCCGGAAAGAAGGTTCTGCATGCTGGTGTGTGAATTCTCCAGGTCAATGCGTTCCCTTTTGTGTGTGTCTTATAGTGTTTATTATTTAATTAGTTACATGTGCCTTTGAGTAGTCCTGTTCACAGCAGAGAGGAGGTAGCTTGGATAACTTGAAAAGCATATATGGTACTAAAACATCATAGATCCACATTTCTCCTCTTCTTCTCCCCCCTACTGAACTGCCAACAATTGAGGACCACTCTGTTTAGTCAGATTTCTTTGTGTGTGTGTGTGTGTGTGTGTGTGTGTGTGTGTGTGTGTCTGTGACAGAGTCTTGCTCTATCGCCCAGGCTGCAGTGCAGTGACACAACCTTGGCTCACTGCAAGCTTCACCTCCCGGGTTCACGCCATTCTCCTGCCTCAGCCTCCCGAGTAGCTGGGACTACAGGTGCCCACCACCATGCCCGGGTAATTTTTTGTATTTTTAGTAGAGACAGGATTTCACCGCGTTAGCCAGGCTGGTCTTGATCTCCTAACCTCGTGATCCGCCCATCTCAGCCTCCCAAAGTGCTGGGATTACAGGTGTGAGCCACTGTGCTGGCTTTAGATTTCTTATATCTGACCTTTGGGAGTGGGGGACTCTTACCTAGGACTCCATGGATGGACTTCACAGCTTCACTGAATCTATGAGCCAAGGCAATGTATTGTGTGTATATGTATTGTTTCTGGGGAAGAGTGTTCACAACAACTTTCATCAGGTTCTTCAAAGGGTGCAAGACTACGTGCCCAAGAATCCAGAAATAGAAAATGTCCTTGAATGGCAGAGGCAAAGTGTGGCCTAGGATAAGCTCATGGAACAAATTACAGGTCAGAACCTAGAAACCTAGAGATGCATATAAAATTAGGTATTTGGCTGATCTTGATTGTTTTATTTACTCAGGATAACAAAATAATATAATTTTTGTTGGCACCTGCACATACTAAGTATGTAACTAGCATAAAGTCAGGGCATGCAGTTGCTGGAGTTGGAGAGGTTTGGGAGAGTAAGAATTGGGAGTCTAGTTTTGGAAGTGATAGTTTTGAAATGCTTGTGTGATCCAAGTGGTGATGCTGAGGAGTAGTAAGTGGAACATAGATCGGGAGCTCAGATACCAGGTTCTAAGAATAGGAAAGGACTCTCTTCCATGATCATTTTGAAGTTCTGATTGATTTTATTCAGATTTCACCTCTGCGTTCAGATTGTACTTCTTAGACTCTTCTACACATACAACTATGTGTTTCTCAACATTGACCCTTGGTAAAGACTGATAACTGATGTTGTTAAATTTTCATTTGTAAATGAATGAATACTTTCACCCCATGAGGTATTTCTTGAGTACAGAGACTAGCATTTTCACTGGAATCCCAAATTAGGGCTATAAATATATTTGTATTTACATAAGCATGTTTATGTAAACAAATGTTCACATAAATATTTTGTGTCATTTCCATTTGATTTATAGCCTTAGTAATTCTTAGAAAGTCCTAGGTTTCAGCCTGGGCATTGTGGCAAAACCCTGCCTCTATCAAAAAAATACAAAAATTAACTGAGTGTGGTGGCAGACTCCTGTAGTCCCAGCTCCTCGGAAGGCTGAGTTGAGAGGATTGCCTGAACCTGGGAAGTCGAGACTGCAGTGAGCTGTGATCTCATCACTGCACTCCAGCCTGGGCGACAGTAAGATTCTGTCTCAAAAAAACAAAAAAAAAATTAAAGTGAAATTTAAAAAAAAAAGAAAGTTGTAGGTTATCCTTTGATTTTACCTTTATGTATTCCCCTTTTCCCATTTGTCTTTTTTTCTTTTTCTTTTTCTTTTTCTTTTTTTTTTTTTTGAGACAGAGTCTTGCTCTGTTACCCAGGCTAGAGTGCTATGGCACAATCTTGACTCACTGCAACCTCTGCCTCCTGGGTTCAAGCAATTCTCCTTTCTCAGCCTCTCGAGTAGCTGAGACTATAGGCACATGCCACCACGTCTGGCTAATTTTTGTATTTTTAGTAGAGATGGGGTTTCACCATATTGGTCAGGCTGGTCTTGAACTCCTGACCTCAGGTGATCCACCCGCCTCAGCCTCCCAAAGTACTAGGATTACAGGCGTGAGCCACCGCACCCAGCCCTTTTTTCCTTTTAGTAAGAAACAAGTCACTATTAATATAGGAAGGGAGACACAGACTTAAGACCACAAAAAGGGCTGGGCGCCACTCACGCCTGTAATCCTACCATTTGGGAGGCCGAGGTGTGCGGATCACGAGGTCAGGAGATTGAGACCATCCTGGCTAACATGGTGAAACCCCATCTCTACTAAAAATACAAAAAATTAGCCGGGCTTGGTGGCGAGCACCTGTAGTCCCAGCTACTCAGGAGGCTGAGGCAGGAGAATGGCATGAACCTGGGAGGCAGAGCTTACAGTGAGCCGAGATTGCACCACTGCCCTCCAGCCTAGGCGACCGAGCGAGACTCCGTCTCAAAAAAAAAAGAAAAGAAAAAAAACACAAGAAGTCCTTTGTCACACATCATCATCATTATTGTTGTTATTATTACTGTGTATTGGCCTTACTTGTGTCTTTTTGTTTCCTCTTGCTAGGCTGTTGCAAATGAGTCTGGACTAAATTTTATATCTGTCAAGGGCCCTGAATTACTAAACATGGTAAGTTATTGAGCATGAGTCATTATTTTAGATTAGAAAAAGTAATGGTCATGCAAGCTACGGGGTAAAATGTTCTCAGATCTTTCAGCAGTTGTGGTATTTTGGTATTTAAAATCAGTGCCGTAGGAGTGAGGAGGTTGAGCTTTGCTCTCCTCTGCTACTTTGGGTGTATAAATGCTTTCTCAATTAAGTCTGTTAACCTCTGAGCCTGAATTTTCCCACAGCTAGAAGCAGTAGAGCAAAGATTTCAGTCTGAGTTGTCTGACTCCTGATCTACTTTTTGTCCTGTTGTCGTGTGGCTTAGATGAGTTCCGTATTAATAAATAAAAATACTTCTGGAGATAGAAGTCACTCAAGTGCTGTATCTTCCTTCTGCATTTAAGCAATTTATTATCTAAATTTAAGACACTTCGAATTTCTTATTTTTTGTCCTTCTCTGTGAAAAGTAAAAATGCCATTCTATGATATATTCCAACAAAGAAGAAATGAGGGTAACATTTGTTTTAAAAGGTTTTTAAAATATATCTCTACCCCAACTTTTAAATCTTTCCTATTGTGTATTACTTTCTCCCTAAAATAAGGGAGTTATACTTAAGTATTTCCTATGGACTTTTTACATACCTTGTAACTTTTCTTGTACTTCGTTTTGATTTTCCAGCAGAGGTGGTATTAGATGTGAACCTTGAAGCAGAGGGTGTTGGTGGGAACTGGGATTGGGAAAGAAGGTTATAGCCAGACACTGAAGGGCCTTTATACCAAGCTAGAATTTGGATGTTAACTTCAGAATATCAGAGAGCTAATAGAAGCTTTAAAGCAAGAGTGTAACATATTTTTAAAGATTGTAATTAGTAAAAATTTTATTATAAAAGTTTCCACATATAAGGAATTCCAAAGAGTAATATAATGTACCCCTATGTATCTATCACCCAGCAAAAAAAAAAAAAAAAAAAGTGCACTTAAAGCTTTTGCAAACCCTTCCTCGTGATGTTCCCTGTTCTGTCTCCCATGGAACTTACCACAAGGCTGAATTTGGTGCTTATTAGTTCCATGCACTTCTTTCTGTATTTACTATGTATGTATGTATCCCTAAACAATATATAGTATTATTTTATATGTTTCAGAAGTATGAGGCCAGGCACAGTGGCTGATACCTGTGATCTCCAGCACTTTGGGAGACTGAGGCAAGAGGATCACTTGAGGCCAGGCATTTAAGACAGACCAACGTACCAAAACCCTGTCTCTACCAAAAAAAATTTTTAATGTAATTTTTTTTTTAAGTATGAGGTTTATGAGATAATTGGAAATGTTAGTGCTTACTGAATATTTGATATTAAGGAAATACTAATTTTTAAGTTATTAGACATGTTAAAATCATTGTATTTTGGAGATACTGAAATATTTATAAATAAAATAGGACATCTAGGATTTTCTTCAATAAAACAAGGAAAGTGGACAGGAGTATAGATGAAGCAAGATTGGTCATACATTGAGTTGATAATAATTGAAGGTCAGTGATGGGTACATTTGAAGTTTATAACTGTTATATCTACTTTAGTTATACTTTTGGACTCTCCTTATACACTCTCCATGGTATAAAGCAAAACAAACAAAAAAGCCCTTTAAATAGTGTGTATTCTTTTGCAGCTTGGTTTGGTTGGGTTTTTTGGTTTTTGTTTTTGTTTTGTTTTGTTTTTTGAGAGAGAGACAGGATCTCTGAAAGCAGAGGTTTTGCTATGTTGCCTGGACTGGTCTCAAACTCCTGGCCTCAGGTGATCCTCCTATCTCAGCCTCCTAAAATGCTAGGATTACAGGCGTGAGTGACTACACCTATTCTTGGTTGTTATTTTTGTTCAATATTTACTTATAATACTTATCTCTGTTGATGTAGTTTTAGTTTATTAACTTTTTGTGTGGCATTTCATTGAATGAATATAACCATACTTTAAAAATCAGGGTTTTTTTCCTGATGAATTTTTAGGTTGAATATTATATATGTATATCTTAGCATATATTTGTGAGATTTTTTTCTGCCTAGGGTATATACCCAGAAGGAGAATTGCTGAATCTTAGAGTATGTGCACTTTCAAAAATATTAGGTATTGGCTGGGCACAGTGCCTCACACCTGTAATCCCAGCACTTTTAGAGGTCAAGGCAGGAGGATTGCTTGAGGCCAGTTTGAGACCAGCATGGGCAACATAGTGAGACCCTGCCTCTACAAAAAAAACCATAATATTAGCCAGATGCGCACCTGTAGTCCCATCTCCTTGGGAGGCTGAGGTAGGAGGATTGCTTGAGCCTAAGAGGTCGAGGCTGCAGTGAGCTATGATCGCGCCACTGCTCTCCAGCCTAGACAACACAGCAACATCCTGTCTAAAAAAAAAAAAAAAATTGGATATTGCTAACTGTTTTAATAAAGTAATTGTATCAGATTGTCCCACATTCTCAACAGCAGTGTTGGTATCAGATATTTTCATTTTTGCCAGTCTGGTGAACATGACATTTTGCCTCATTGTGGTCTGATTTGTTTTTTATGGGTGGGTAGGGGGAAAAGGTCTATGGAAGAGTGCAGAATGTCTCTGAAAGATTAGATGATCTGGGCTGGGCACAGTGGCTCACGCCTATAATCCCTGCACTTTGGGAGGCCAAGGTGGGTGGATCACTTGAGGTCAGGAATTCAAGACCAGTGTGGCCAATGTGGTGAAACCCCATTGTAAAAATACAAAAAAATTAGCCAGGCATAGTTGTGGGTGTCTGTAATCTCATCTACTCAGGAGACTGAGGCAGGAGAATTGTTTGAACTCGGGAGGTGGAGGTTACGGTGAGTAGAGATCACACCACTGCACTCCAGCCTGGGCAACAGAGTGAGACTGTCTCAAAAAGAAAGATTAGATGATCTAGTGAGGAAGATGGGCATCTTGGGATTGGAAAATGAGTTCACTCTAGGACATTTTAGATTAAACAGCCATCTGGAGATGTCTAGCAGGCGGTAGGAAATGTGAATCTGAAGCTCTGAAGAGATTTGAAAGTCACTATCATCCAAGTGGTACCTAAAACCATGGGAATGGGTTCAGTCTGGTAGGACAAGTTTATTAAGTAAAAGAACAATTACATTAAGGGTCTCTGACTGAACCCTGAAAGATTCAAACAATTAAGGGATAAAGAAGCAAGATCTGGCAAAGGAGACTGAAAGTACTTGGTCATAAGATGCAGGACACCCCAGACCAGCTAAGCCTGAAAACCAAGGGAAGATGAGTTTTTCAGCCTTGTCAGTGTGACCAAACAGTATAAAAGATATTGAGAGTGGGACTTGGGATTTAGTTATTAGAAGTTCATTGGTGGCTTTAGGGAAAATATGTTTAATAATGATGTTTGCAAAAGCCAGACTAAAATGGTTGAAAATTTGATGGCCAATAAAGATTTTGAGATAATAAATGTAAGATCTTTACTTGAAATGTTGCATGTTTCAAATAAAGGATAAGATGGGCTTTTCTTTCATTTACTTATTTTTAATCACTGTTGCCTTGTTAAGATTAAATAGGTTTTAATATGTCCTTGTTGAAACTTTAGGTTTACTTTTCCCTAAATTAAATTTCCTTTTACCTAGCTACCTTGGTTTGCCATTTCCAAAGTCACTTTGCCAACGGTATTGATTGTTCTCTTCTATTCCTGTCTGAAACTTTATGTCTCCCAGCCCCCTGAGATGCCTTCTTTTACAACAGTACTGAATATTTTGCTTCAGCATTACAAGTGTAGTTTTTGCTGAATTAGATTTTCCGGGAAAGTCTACTATATTTGTACACTATTGTATTTGCACACTGTGTGTTATATTTGTACACTGTGCACTATATTTGTATACTGTGCAGGATATTAGGACAGAAAAATTTGAATGGGACTCCTGCTTTCCAAGGGCTATGTAATATAATATAGTGAGGGTAGAAGAGCTCAAATGTTATAATAAGGATAAAATCTGAATATCTGAATAGGACTCCTGCTTTCTAAGGGCTTTGTAATATAATATAGTGAAGGCAGAAGAGCTCAAATGTTGTAATAATACAAAGTACTCGAAGAGCAAAGAAATACTTTGGGTTTGGTTTGGGTCAAATGATAGTAAAACAGTTTTATATATCAAATTCCAGACAGTATCAGGATGAGCCATATACATTTGCTGATATTTAACCATTTTTGACCTGTAATAGCCAACTGCATATAGTTCAACTTAATCAAATTAGCTATTATGGGAAGAATGATTAATAAGGATCTTTTAGAATGTAAGAAGAAATGTTCGGAGGTAGGTTAGAAAGCAGTTCAAGTAAGGGAAGCAGAATGAGCAAAAGTTTAACAAAAAATACCAAAAGGATGTGAGGGAAAGAAATTTCTAGTCAAAGGAAAAAATAGCACTTGAATCGCTGTCATCTGCGGTGTATTCTTTGCCTTGATTATTTATTCTGGCCATAGAGTCATTATAGCAGAGGTGATATGAAATAGTTGGCACTGTAGGCCGGGGGCCACAGTGTAGGCCGTTGGCTCATGCCTGTAATCCCAGCATTTTAGGAGGCTGAGGCGGATGGATCATTTGAGGTTGGGAGTTTGAGACTAGCCTGGCCAACATGGTGAAACCTCGTCTCTACTAAAAAGACAAAAATTAGCCGGGTGGTAGTGGCAGCATGCCTGTAATCCCAGCTCCTCGGGAGGCCGAGGCAGGATAATTGCTTGAACCTGCAGGGCAGAGGTTGCAGCGACCGAGATTGCTCCACTGCACTCCGGTCTGGGTGACAGAGAGACCCTGTCTTAAAAATAATAATAATGATTGGCACTGTAAAGATGTTTTTTGGATTCCATCTTATTTAGCAGTTTCATTAAGAAAAAACTCTTTCTTAGTCATCTGGTTTGACATTTTACGAGAAACATTTCTTATGCCTAAGCTAAAAGCGAAATCATCCTTACATGTGGCTTTTCATATTACTTAGTCCTAATGTTATAGTTGCTTGTGAATTGCTATATTTCTTGACTTATCTTAATGTTTTATATTTTGATTTAGATTTCAACATAGAGTAAGCCATTATGAAACCTGTTAAATGCCTGGTTGGCTCACTTTGCCTCCTCTGATGCTGTATGACAAAATAGTTATTCCTTTATTTAGTAAGATGACTTTTGTAGAAATAACAATAAAATAGTAATTTGACTTATGTGCACGTAAAATACTGTTGAATTAATGAAAATTACTGCTGGATATTTTATATGCACAAGGCTTACAAGATTAGTTCTAAAATACAATTGAATTTTGGTGATTTTTTTGAGCTAGAGAAGACCTTACGTTTCCCTTAAGTCTTCATTTTATAAATAAGGAAATTTATAGTAGGCTTAAATAGTTGCTACTTTTATTAAGTTGAACTATATGCAGTTGGCTATTACAGGTCAAAAATGGTTAAATGTCAGCAATTGTATATGGTTCATCCTGATACTTTCTGGACTTTGACACATAAACTAGTTTTATGTCACATAAAACTGTTTTACTGTCATTTGACCCAAACCACAAAGTTGAACCGTTGGTATTTTATTTCCTTTCTGTGTATGTTTAGTATGTTGGTGAGAGTGAACGTGCTGTGCGACAAGTTTTTCAACGAGCCAAGAACTCAGCACCCTGTGTGATATTCTTTGATGAAGTGGATGCTTTATGTCCTCGAAGATCAGACCGAGAGGTAATTATCATGGACTAGTGGTTTACAGATCCTTTTAGCACAATAAACCTTTTCTATGTTCTAAGCCAGGTATTTCTTATGAAGTCATCCCTTAGGAGCATTGAGACTCTTAGTGAAGACGCCTAGTAATTTGAAATCAAATCTTAGAGATAGCAGTTGTTTCTGTATCTGCCTCTGCATCCATTTTTTTTCCTGTTTATTATTTTGGTTGCACAATCTGTAGGTCATCCTAATTCACACAAATGAGTAGATGAGTATGGAAATGATATTAGTTTTAAATAGCTTGCCTTATAATCTTGTTACCCTACAACATTCTTGAGCTAAAAGGGTTCTTGAGACAGAAAAAAAACAATTTAAGATATCATGCACTCAAAATAGGGTCAGGTTATTAACTTTAAGACCTCAAACCTTTTCTCTTAAATAAGACGTTAAAAAAAGACCCAACACCCATTTATATCTGGAGAAGATATAAAATTGATCTGCATTGAATACCACTTGCATCAGCCACACTGAGTCACAGTCCTTAGAGATTTCAGTACAGAGTACCAGAAACAGTTGTTATTAGGAGTGCTATTATATAACAATTTGAAGCTTAGTGAAGCATAACATAAACCATAAATATATAACCTTTTTGAATCAGACAGCAGCTACTTTATTTATTTATTTATTTTTGAGACAGAGTTTCGCTCTTGTCTCCCAGGTGGGAGTGCAATGTTATAAATATATAACCTTTTTGAAGCAGACAGCAGCTACTTTATTTATTTATTTATTTATTTATTTATTTATTTATTTATTTATTTTTGAGACAGAGTTTCGCTCTTGTCTCCCAGGTGGGAGTGCAATGGTGCGATCTCAGTTCACTGCAACTTCCGCCTCCTAGGTTCAAGCTATTCTCCTCCCTCAGCCTCCTGAGTAGCTGGGATTACAGGCACCCGCCACCATGCCTGGCTCATTTTTGTATTTTTAGTAGAGACAGGGTTTCCCCATGTTGGTTAGGCTGGCCTTGAACTCCTGACCTCAGGTGATCCATCCGCCTCAGCCTCCCAAAGTACTGGGATTACAGGGTTGAGCCACCATGCCCGGCCACAGGTACATTTCTTGTAAGATAACTGAGGAAATGGTTACATTTCTGTTGTTGTTGTTGTTGTTGTTGAAACGGAGACTCACTCTGTCACCCAGGCTGGAGTGCAATGGTGCGATCTCGGCTCACTGCAACCTCTGGCACCCAGGTTCAAGCGATTCTCCTGCCTCAGCCTCCAGAGTAGCTGGGATTACAAGCGCCCGCCACTACACTTGGCTAATTTTTGTAGTTTTTAGTAGAGACGGGGTTTTACATCATTTCTGAAACCTGGAAATCTTTTGTGGTTTATTTTCAGTAAGTGTGTGTGTGTGTGTGTGTGTGTGTCTTGGGTCATAAAACATTACATGCCTCATTTTGCTAAAAATCTCCAAAAACATTCAAAAGTCACAAAAAAAAGCTGACTGATACAAATAAATAAGTAAATGTGACTCACATTTTAGCGGTTTTGTTTCTTCATCCAGTAGTCGTTGATACCATCATAGAAAATTCTTATTACAGGCTTATCTTTGATAGTGATGTCAGTGACTGAGGCAGAGATCCTTCCCAGGTTCCCCAGTCATATTCCAAAGTCTACTGTGGGCCATGGAGCAAAACATAGTACTTTGATATCTCCAGCTGGTTAGGGCATGGCATGCTCTGGATTTTATTCTTTTCCTTTTTATTCCCGTCTCTTCTGCCATGAATAAACCCTTCATTTGTCCACAGCCCTTTCAATTGGTTTGCAGCTCTCTACTGTCAGCTGGTAAATCTAAATTTGGAAAGGTTCATTGTCAACTGTTGCCCTCAAAGAAGTCTGTAGCCATATGATGTACATGTCTGACTTCTGGTTTATCTCTCTCTTTTTTTTTAAAGAATAAAGAATGGCTGCTCCATAGGCAGAGCGGCCTTATTTGTTTCTTGGATGTCTACTGCCATGCATTTCTTTCTTTTCCTATCCTTTCCCTTTCCCTTTCCTTTCCTTTTTTTTTTTCTTGAGAAAGAGTCTTGCTCTATCACCCAGGCTGGAGGCTAGAGTGCAATGGCACTATCTCAGCTCACTGCAACCTCTGCCTCCCAGGTTCAAGCGATTTTCCTGACTCAACCTTCCGAGTAACTGGGATTACAGGCACCTGCTACCATGCCCGACTAATATTTGTGTTTTCAGTAGAGGTGGGGTTTCACCATGATGGCTGGGCTGGTCTCGAACACCTGGTCTCAAGTGATCCACCAGCCTCGGCCTCCCAACGTATTGGGATTAGAGGCATGAGCCACCACACCCAGCCTACTGCCATACATTTCTATACTCTGATATATATGGGTTTCTTTTCTTGTGGTTTTTTTGTTTGTTTGTTTGTTTTTGAGACAGAGTCTTGCTCTGTCACCCAAGCTGGAGTGCAGTGGCATAATCTCAGCTCACTGCAGCCTCCGCCTCCCAGGGTCAAGTGATTCTCCTGTCTCCGTCTCCCAGTAACTGGCACTACAGATGTGTGCTACCACACCTGGCTAATTTTGCATTTTTAGTAGATACGGGTTTTACCATGTTGGCCAGGCTGGTCTCGAACTCCTGACCTCAGGTGATCCACTCGCCTCGGCCTCCCAAAGTGCTATAGTTTGCTTTTCTATATTTTTACCTAAAGCAGATTCTGAAAACATTTTATTTTTATTTTTTGTTTGTTTCTTTTTATTTGATCTTCTTTTTTTTTTTAAACAGAGTCTCACTCTCACCCAGGCTGGAGTGCAGTGGCACGATCTCAGCTCTCCGCAGCCTTTGCCTCCTGGGTTCAAGTGATTCTCATGCCTAAGCCTGCTGAGTAGCTGGGACTATAGGTACATGCCACCATGCCCAGCTGATTTTTCATATTTTTTTTTTTCTTCAGTAGAGACAGGGTTTCACCATGTTGGCCAGGCTAGTCTCGGACTTCCAACCTCAGGTGATCCACCTGCCTCAGCCTTCCAAAGTGCTAGGATTACAGACATGAGCCACCATGTCCAGCCTCTAAAAATCTTTTAAATTTGAATGTATTCTTTTTGAATTATACTAGTTATACATGAATACATGCTTGTGAAAAATTCAAATAAAGCACAAGTATAAAGAGAGTAAATTTCTTTCCATTCTCCTCCATATTACTCTTCTTAGAGGTTATTATGAGACTACTAATAGTTTATCATTTCGTATGCATCATTCTAGAACTTTTTCCAGAAACAAAAAAATGTATATTTTACACTTCTGTTTTGTTATTGTTGCTGTTGTTTGAGACAGGGTCTTACCCTGTCACCCAGGCTGGAGTGCAGTGGTGTGATTGTAGCTCACTGCCTGCCACCTTGAGCTCCTGGGCTCAAGCAGTGATCCCACCTTAGCTGCCTGAGTAGCTAGTAGTACAGTTGTGCACTGCCACACCCAGCTAAGTTTTTGTTTTTAGAGGCAGGATCTTGCTATGTTGCCCAGGCTGGTCTTGAACTTCTGGCCTCAAGTGATCCTCCTGCCTCTGCCTCCCAAAGTGCTGAGATTACATCATGCCTGGACCTAGACTTCTATTTTTTATATTAATGTGGTCATTCTGTCTTGATGACTTTCTCATGTACGTAATGACTTAAAAATATATATAGTATTATCCTCAGTCTGGATACAGCAGAATTTACTTAATAATTCTCCTGTTTTGGGCATTTAGATTGTTTCCAGTTGTAAACAGAACTCTACTTGTATCACACATTTTTGTGCACCTGTGGTGGGACTATGTGACATAGAATTTTGGAAGTGAAAATCAGGGTGGAAGATTGCTATATATTAGATTTTGAAAGATAATGCTGTATCATCCTTCACAAAAACTATCAGTTACATGTGCCCACCAGCAGTGTGTGAAAATATCCATTTCTTATCAACAATGGATTATACCCATCTTTTTATTTTTTGGCAGTTTTATTGGCAAATCATATTACATTTTAGTATACATGTCCCTGATTACCATGAGGTAGACTGTCTCCAGTGATTTGAAATTATTTGATCATATCTTTCAGCCCTTTTGCTATTGCTGTCTTTTTCTTTTTTTGTGTTAATTGGTACTGTATGATGGAAAGTAGTCTTTTATTTAATTATGTGTTGATACTATTTTTCCCAGTCTTATGACTTATATTTAATTTTATTATATAGAATATTATAGGTTTGGTTTGTTTGTTTGTTTTCTGTTTTGAGAGAGTCTCACTCTGTCGCCCAGGCTGGAGTGCAGTGGCGTGATCTCAGCTCACTGCAGCCTCCGCCTCCCAGGTTCAAGCAATTCTTCTGCCTCAGCCTCCCGTGCAGCTGAGATTACAGGTTCCTGCCACCCATACCCAGCTAATTTTTTGTATTTTTAGTAGAAACGGGGTTTCACCATGTTGGCCAGACTGGTCTTGCACTTCTGACCTCAGGTGATCCACACGTCTCGCCTCCCAAAGTGCTGGGATTACAGGTGTGAGTTACCATGCCCAGCCAGAATATTATGGCTTTAATACAGAAAAATCTATCAGTCATTCTTGTATTGACTCTCGTCTTGCTTATGTAGAACAATATTTTTTACCCTTTACTTCCTTACATTTTTGAGTATGGATTATGATTCTGTTAGTGTTATGTTCCCCAGGAGTGACAATAAGGAACACCAAATTTTTTTTTCTAGAGAAATCAGTGGGGTAAACTGGGCGTGGTAGCTTATACCTGTAATCCCAGCAGTTTGGGTGGCCAAGGCAGGCAGATTGCTTGAGTCCAGGGGTTCAAGACCAGCGTGGGCAACATGGTGAAATCCTGACTCTACACAAAAAAGAAAAATTAGCCAGGTGTGGTGGTGCATACCTGTAGTCCCAGCCACTCAGGAGGCTGAGGTAGGAGGATTGCTTGAGCCCGGAAGGTAGAGGTTGCAGTGAGCTGAGATCTCACCACTGCACTTCTAGCCTGGGCGACAGAGCAAGACCCCTGTCTCAGAAAAAAAAAAAGGAAAGAAATGAGGTAAGCCCATTACCACCTCTGTATGTAAAATTTATGGTGAAGAAAAACAATTAATGACCAAAAACACAGCACCACTTTTCTCATTTCCTTCATTTAAAACTTTTTTGTTGTTTCTGTATCTAAGTGATTTATCCCTCTCCCTGAATTTATACCAACTCCCTGGATGTTTCCTTTCACCTAGATATTGCTGAGGTAACTTTACTTTGTATTATTTGCTTCAAGGAAAAGAGAAAATACCTCATCAGTGTCCCAGATACTCCCGTATGTGTTGCACTAAAAAGATCTGGAACACCTGGCTTGTCTGATGGTGGTGGGTTATCAGAATTTATTAACATTAGTGTCATCTGGGTGCAGTGGCACAAGCCTGTAATCCCAGCACTTTGGGAGGCCGAGATGGAAGGATCGGTTGAGCTCAGGAGTTCGAGACTAGCCTGGGCAATATAGCAAGAGGATCTCTAGAAAAAAATATGAAAATTAGCTAGGCGTGGTGGCACACACCAGTAGTACCAGCTACTTGGGAGGCTGAGGTGGCAGGATTGCTTGAGCCCAGGAGGGGAAGGCTGCAGTGAGCTGAGATCACACCACTACACTCTAGCCTGGGCTACAGAGTAAAACCCTGCCTCAAAAAAAAAATTAGTCTCACCAAAGGTGGTATACAACCTCCCACTGTTAAATTTGACTGACTTTAAAAATAAAATAAAATGAGATCTAGAATGCCTGATATACTGGGAAATTTGGGGTTCAAAAGCTAAGTCTAGGGCTGGGCGTGGTGGCTCACTCCTGTAATCCCAGCGCTTTGGGAGGCCGAGGTGGGCTGATCACCTGAGGTCAGGAGTTTCAAGACCAGCCTGACCAACATGGTGAAACCCCATCTCTACTGAAATTACAAAATTATCCTGGCATCGTAGCACATGCCTGTAATCCCAGCTACTTGGGAGGCTGAGGCAGGAGAATTGCTTGAACCAGGAGACGGAGGTTGCAGTGAGCTGATATCACACCATTGCACTCCAGTCTGGGCAACAAGAGCGAAACTTTGTCTCAAAAAAAAAAAAAAAAAAAAAAAAAGCTTAGTCTGGGTGGGGTGCAGCTCTCACACCTATAATCCCGGCACTTTGGGAAGCTGAGGCAAGAGGATTGCTTGAGGCCAGGAGTTCGAGACTAGCCTGGACAGCATAGCAAGACCCATCTCTACCAAAGAAACAAAAGCTAGCTGTAGATTTGCCCCAAGGGAAGTGTATTGTGATGGTTAGGTGTTTGAGTAACTCAGAAACATTAGACCTTGGGATCCATTCAGCCTGAGATTGAGTCTCATCTCTTCCTTTACCTAGTGATGAGAACTTGGACAAGTAACCCCTCTGAGCCTCACTTTCCTCATTTAGACTGTGGATAATAATAGGATTGCTGGGGAGGTCCACTGATGAGAACACATTTTGCACAGTGTGTGCATATAGTGGCTCCTTGGAAAATGATCACTGTTATCTCTTTTGCATGGGGAAATGTATTATTTTCATGGGGAAGAAAATGGGTTTTTTTTTTCCTTTATATTAAGAGCTGATGGAACTAGATTTATGTCTTTTTAGACGGGGGCAAGTGTCCGAGTGGTGAATCAGCTACTTACAGAGATGGATGGTCTGGAAGCACGCCAGCAGGTTTTTATTATGGCAGCCACTAACAGGCCAGGTAAGAAATAAAAATATTGTAATGCAGATGAATCTAAAAACTTACAGCATTTCCATAGAAGAGATTCAGATAATTAAAAATAAAAGTAAAAACTTGTAGCATTTATAAACAATATAATTCACACGCATCCTAGGAAAGGAAGATTAAATTTGGACAATCCCTTTCTGGTTCTGTGAAAGGAAACTTCGTAGTTGAAATAAAGGCTTAGAAAGCTTTTGCATAAGCTATAGTAAAAAGCATAGTATTACTGCTTGGATCCCATGAGATTGCTTTTCTGTGTTTGTGCTTAGAAAGCTCTTTTTGGCTGAGAACAGTTGCAGCATACACTCTTTTCTTTTTTTTTTGGAGACGGAATCTCACTTTGTCACCCAGGCTGGCATGCGGTGGCATGACCTTGGCTCACTGCAACCTCTGCCTCCTGGGTTCAAGTGATTCTCCTGCCTCAGCCTCCTGAGTAGCTGGGATTACCGGTGCTGCCACCATGCCCAGCTATTTTTTGTATTTTTAGTAGAGATGGGGTTTCGCCATGTGGGCCAGGCTGGTCTTGAATTCCTGAACCTCAGGTGATCCGCCCAACTCGGCCTCCCAAAGTGCTGGGATTACAGACGTGAGCCATTGCACCTGACCGGCATACACTTTTGACCACAAAAGTATTTTAAGAATTTGTGTTTTATGGTTTGTCGCTAGCTTATAGGAAATAAAAACCATACTCTTTAGTAGAAGTTAAAGATAGATTTTTAAGGTTTTATGCTGGAGCCATGCCCTCATATCTGCCCTTAATGATTACTGAAAATTGTTTTCAGGGTTAAGCATTCTTTGAGAGATTCAGAAAAGGGCTCAAGACTACAGAAGTGCAGAAGGTGGCTCAGAGTTACAACTCTAATCACATGCTTGATCTTTCTGGTGATCAGTCCCCTGCCTGAAGCTATCTGTGGGGCCACTATGTGTCACCATATTAGCTCAACAAAGATATTCCTGGCATTCAGGAAATTGCAAGGATTTTTGAAGGTCTATGCCAGGAACGGTGGGCAAAGACCAATTATATTCTGTATTATACCATAGTAACCTTGGGACTATATTACTTCATCTTGCTGACCATCATTTTGGCACCTTTAAAATGAGGATGATAATACTTAATTGGCAGGATTGCCACAAAGGTTAAATGATGTTGGTAATGTATCTACCACAGTGGTAGTAAACAGCAGGTAGCTATTTAGTAATTATTATCATGTTCATAAGCAGTTTGGTAATAGTAGTGGGAACAGTCATTAGGTCATAAAATCACAGAGTCATCCTAGAAGAAAGTCCCTCAGAGTTGAATAGAATCACATTTTCCCTTTCATAAGAAGATACAGATCTTTTCTCACATATTTCAAAAAGATGCTTGTCTTAGTCTGTTTTTTGTTGCTATAATAGAATACCTGAAACTGGGTAATTAGTGTTAAAAAGAAGAGATTCAGTTCTTCTAGTTCAGGAAGCTGGGAAGGTCAAGATTGAGTGGCCTGCATCTGTCAAGGGCCCTCTTGCTGCATCATCCCAAGGTGAAAGGGTGCACAAGAGCATGCATGAGAGAGCAAAAGGAAAGTGGCGTGGACAGGAAGAAACCATGGTCCCATGAATAAGGGTGGACAAATAAAGTTTAATTAATTTTACCCTATCTTTGGACATTTATCTCAAATGCCTGAGCTGAACAACTGACTGCTTTCCTCAGCCTACCAAAAAGCATTTTGTATAGCAAAAGATTGGTTTCATTGGAGGAAACCTGGAGAAGAGAGAAGCAGAGAGGGGGGGATCCTGGGGAGTAGGAAATGAGGGCCTTGTTTCTCTCAAAAAAGCCTCTTTGAAGAAATACATTGATCTAGTTTTTTCTGGTGTATGATCATCCTTTTTAAAGTGAGGAGCATAAATTAGTAAGGATGGGCTTAATACCTGTTGGTGGTGAGACAAGAAAATGCTAAAATTGTTATCTGTTACTTTATTTAATTGTACTATCTGGTTTTGATGTATGGCTTGTCATGTATGCAGTGTATTAATAATATCTTACAGAAACATAGTTAATAAATGATTAGACATTAAAAAAAGGAAGAAAGTGGCCAAGCTGGGCATGGTGGCTTATGCCTGTAATCCTAGCACTTTACAAGGTCAAGACAGGAGGATCGCTTGAGCTTGGGAGTTTAAGACCAGCCTGGGCAACATAGTGAGACCTTGTCTCTATTATTTAAAAAATAGAGAGAGTGGCTAAACATATCCTTTGATCAAGAGTCCACTCCTGCAATAACTTACTCACTCCCTTGGAACCAGCATTATTCATGAGGCAGAGCCCTCATGACCTCATCACTTTTTAAAGGCCCCACCTCTCAACACTGTTTTATTGGGGATTAAGTTTCCAGCACGTGAACTTTGGGGAATACATTCAAACCACAGCATCAGTCTTTCGTTTCCTGTATAACATATTCTACCGTTAACAGCCCTCACCATATTTTAAGTTTGTTTATTTTATTATTTATTTATTTATTTTGAGACAGAGTCTTGGTCTGCTGCCCAGGCTGGAGCGCAGTGGCGTGATCTCAGCTCACTGCAACCTCTGCCTCCCGGGTTCAAAGGTTTCTTCTGCCTCAGCCTCCCAAGTAGCTGGGACTACAGGCATGTGCCTCCACGCCCAGCTAATTTTTGTATTTTTAGTAGAGACAGGGTTTCACCATGCTGACCAGGCTGGTCTCAAACTTCTGACCTCAGGTGATCTGCCTGCCTCGGCCTCCCAAAGTGCTGGGATTATAGGCATGAGCCACTGCGCCTGGCCTGTTTATTTTAAAACCTGTGTTAAGAATGGCAGATGAATCATAATGTGGTACCGGTGTTTTGTTTTTTTCCCTATGTATGTATATTGTCTTCCCCTAAAACTCTTCCATCCTTTTTTCCCCTTTAACAAATCTGTTGCATTAATGACCTACATTTAAAAATAAATGATCTGGCTGAACACGGTGGCTCATGCCTGTAATCCCAACACTTTGGGAGGCCGAGGCCGGCGGATCATAAGGTCAGGAGATTGAGACCATCAGCTAACACGGTGAAACCCCATCTCTACTAAAAATACAAAAAAATTAGCTGGGCATGGTGGCATGCGCCTGTAGTCCCAGCTACTTGGGAGGCTGAGGCTGAGGCAGGAGAATTGCTTGAACCCAGGAGGTGAAGGTTGCCATGAGCCAAGATTGCACCACTGCACTCCAGCCTGGGCGACAAAGCGAAACCGTCTCAAAAAATAATAATAGTAATAATAAATGTTCTAGATCTTCTTCACTTGTTTTCATGCTTATTTGGCAGTTCTGCTCCATTGTATACTATCATGTGACATTGTTTTGATTGCTTATAACTTGTCTGCTTAGCTTTAAGAATTTCCTCCTTGGCCGGGCGCAGTGGCTCAAGCCTGTAATCCCAGCACTTTGGGAGGCCGAGACGGGCGGATCACGAGGTCAGGAGATGAAGACCATCCCGGCTAACACAGTGAAACCCTGTCTATACTAAAAAAATACAAAAAACTAGCCGGGCGTGATGGCGGCACCTGTAGTCCCAGCTACTCAGGAGGCTGAGGCAGGAGAATGGAGGGAACCCGGGAGGCGGAGCTTGCAATGAGCTGAGATCCTCCGGCCACTGCACTCCAGCCTAGGCGACAGAGCGAGACTCCATCTCAAAAAAAAAAAAAAAAGAATTCCCTCCTTGTTTGATGTTCTGGTTAGCCATTGCTGCATAACAAACTACTGTAAAGCTTAGTGCTTTAAAACCACCATTTGTGGCTGGGTGCAGTGACTCACACCTGTAATCCCAGCACTGTGGGAAGCCAAGGATCACTTGAGGTAAAGAGTTCAAGACCAGCCTACTCAACATGGTGAAACTCCATCCCTACTAAAAATATAAAAATTAATTGGGTGTGGTGGTGGGCACCTGCAATCCCAGCTACTCAGGAGGCTGAGGCAGGAGAATCACGTGAACCCAGGAGGCGGAGGTTGCAGTGATCCCAGATCGCACCACTACATTCCAGCCTGGGCAACAGATTGAGACTCCATCTTTTAAAAAAAAAAAAAAATGTATATATATATATATATATATATATATATAACCATTTTTGCTTGGCTCACAATTTTTAGGTCAGGAATTTGGGATGGGCTTGTCTGAGTGGTTCATCTTGGATCCACATGCTATCAACTGGAGTGGCTGGACCAGAGAATCCATTTCCACAGTGGCCTCTTTACTCACAATGTCTTCACAATCCTTGGTCTCTCTCCCAACCTAGCCCCCAAATAATTATCATCTTTTTGGGGTTTGTTTGTTTTGAGGCGGAGTCTCACTCTGTCGCCCAGACTGGAGTGCAGTGGTGTGGTCTCGGCTCACTGCAACCTCTGCCTCCTAGGCTCAAGTGATTCTCCTGCCTCAGCCTCCCAAGTAGCTGGGATTACAGGCATGCACACCACGCCCAGCTAATTTTGTATTTTTTAGTAGAGATGGGGTTTCACCATGTTGGTCAGGCTGGTCTTGAACTCCTGACCTCAGGTGATCCGCCTGCCTCAGCCTCCCAAAGTGCTGGAATTACACATGTGAGCCACCATACCTGGCCCCAGTTATCATCTTTTAATGCCTCTTCATGTGGCTTGGGCTTCCAGTAGTGTGCTTCTCTCAGGGTGTTTGCACTTCTTACATGGTAGGCAGATTCTAAGCGTTGAAAATGGAAGCTGCCGTTCTTCTTAAAGGCAAAGTCCAGACTAGGTAAACTCTATTGTTCAGGGTACTGACAGAAAGGCCCAGCTTCTAAAAGGAGAGAAAATGAAAGTGTAAATATATTTGCAGTAGGCTGGGTGCGGTGGCTCACACCTGTGATCCCAGCATTTTGAGACGCTGAGGCAGGAGGATCACCTGAGGTCAGGAGTTCGAAACCAGCCTGGCCAACATGACGAAACCCTGTCTCTATTGAAAGTACAAAAATTAGCCGGGTGTGATGGCAGGCACCTATAATCCCAGCTACCCAGGAGGCTGAGGCAGGAGAATAGCTTGAACCTGGGAGGCGGAGGTTGCAGTGAGCCGAGATTGTGCCACTGCGCTCCAGCCTGGGCGACAAGAGCGAGACTCCGTCTCAAAAATAAATAAATAAATAAATAAATAAATAAATAAATAAATAAAATTAAATAAATATTATATATATATATATATTTGTGGTCAGCTTTAATCCTTAGTACCTATATTTCTCTTTTTAACACATTCTACCTTTATTGTGCAAGTTGTTTAGTCATCTTAAGGTTTGGTGTTGTGTATCAGTCATATTAATACAATTTTCTTCAATCTGTAAGGAGATTTGCTCTTTCATTCATCAAATAATTACTGAGTTTTTACTGTATACCTCATCCTGCTTAGCTTTGGGAATTCAAAGATGAAAAATCACAAAATTCCTTGCTGGCATATGTTCTGCTTTGGAGCTGGGGAACAGGGTGGGGTGGGGTGGGAGTAATAAATAAAATGAGGCTGGGCGTGGTGGCTCACGCCTGTAATCCCAGCGCTTTGGGAGGCGGAGGAGGATGGATCACCTGGGGTCAGGAGTTCAAGACCAGCCTGACCAACATCGTGAAACACTGTCTCTACTACAAATACAAAAATTAGCTGGGTGTGGTGGTGGGCACCAGTAATCCCAGCTACTTGGGAGGCTGAGGCAGGAGAATCTCTTGAAAATCCAGGAGATGGAGGTTGCAGTGAGCTGAGATTGTGCCTTTGCACTCCAGCCTGGGCGACAGAGCGAGCCTCTGTCTCAAAAAAAAAGAAAAGAGAAACAGCGTGAGAGGATAGAGAGTGACTAGTGGTTAGGGAGGGGAGGCTGATTTAGTTGCTGTTGCCTGGGAAGACTTCTTCAGAAAATGGCATGTGTACATGAACCCAAAGGATGCGAACCAAGCCATGCAGAAATCTGGGAGATGAGGGTATTCCAGATAGAGAACAAATGATATATAGGCCCTGAGAGGAAAACAAGCTTGGCATGTTGGAAAACCAGCAAGACGACCTGTGTGTCTAAAGCGAAATGAGTAAGGGGGACAGTGATAGAGAGGTGCAAGGGGCCTTTTAAGCCACAGTAAGGGGTGTGGATTTTATTCTGATGTGATGGGGAGCTATTGGAGGGTAATGAGCAGTTTTCCTAACAGTTTGGTAGCTTTTAATACCCTTGACTTCCTTGTAATCTTTCTGATGTATTTTACTTTATACATTGAAAAACGTTTAAGAAGCAATCCATAAACTTTCTGTATTCCAAAGAAGTCCTTGACACAAAAGATACTCTGAACCAGAAGATCTACGGTCAGTCCATGGAGAATTTGTGTGAGCTTAATGGAAGAAGTAAGAAGTGGTAAAATTTGAGACATATTTTGAAAGTAAAACCAATAGGATTTTCTGGAATTAGATGTGAGATAAGAGAAAGAAAATAAATAAGGGCTATTCTTATTCTTATTGTTAGATTGTTTTATCTATACTGGGTAAAAGGTTTTGCCACTTCTGAGATAGGGGACACTTAGATAAAAGTTAGTCTATTTTCAGTTCTAAAATGTCTGTTCAAGGAGATGAAAATAAGTTTATTTCATTTTCTTTACAAGTCCCTATTATTTTAAAACAATCACCAGTAATAACAACTAGGTTTTTGGAGCACCTACTACGTGCCAGGCCCTCTGTTGGATGCTTTACCATGTTAAACCTCACAACAGCCCTGAACGTGTGCAAAAGTTGAACCTTGATGAGTGATGTGGTTTGGCTCTGTGTCCCCACTCAAATCTCATCTTCAGTTGTAATTTTCACATATAGAGGGAGGGACCCCAGTTTCAAATCAAATGTCAGGAAAAGCTTATAACAAAAACTGTAGTTTTCTGTCCCATCCCTTCTAATCCCCTGAGAGGCAACCACTTGAGCTGTTTTTTTTCGTATTTTCAAATATGCTCATATAGCTATTTCTTATCAATTTTAAACACTGCCCATTAACCTCATTTTAAGGTAGATGAAGATTTAGTTATCTTACATTCACCCTTTCTCCATACCCTCCACTCCCACCATCACTGCCACATCATCTATCCTCTCCCCTATCCTCCCAGTATTGTAATATAGTTTGATCACA